CAAAAAAACCAAGCTTCTTGTAAAGCTTGAAATAATGTAGCCACAAATTTGTCAACAAGCCATGTCAAAGGAAAGCTTGGTTGCACGTGTCTGTTTATTTTTCCTTAATTGAATAGCAGAGCCCAGATTCTGCTGTCTGACAAACCGTCATAGAGAATAACGCCCCAGTGTCGGCCATTGCTTCTGCAAAAAAACAAAAATTGTCTGGTGGAGGATAAATGCCTTTGAAATGCATGTGGGAGAAACCCTTCCGTTAGGAGCAATGGTGTTATGGTATGATTTGCTACACACTAATCAGTCCTTTTTAAAAAATCATTTTCTTTTGACTAGCTCAGATGCTGGTGTGGTTTATTTTTCTGCTAAACCACTAATATCGAAAGTGAAGAAGGCTCTGCCTCTGCAGTACATTTCAATCTTCTTATCTCGAGTCTGCATTTCTACTTAGCTATTCTGAGTAAATGCTGTGCAGTGAGCGAAAAGGGAATGCGGACTTAAAAATTCTAAAGTTAGATTTCGTTCTGCCAACATGTGAAGCCCAAAGAACCTTACCCTGCTCCCTCGGCTCTGCAAAAAAAGGACATCTCCAAGTTATGAGTGTTCCTTAGATTATTCATAAATTCCCCTCATCTCTCTGACTTTCCTCATAACGTTATATCTCTCTTCTTCTACGCTTCATTTGTTCGGGGAGGGGGGGAATCAGAAAATGGAAGATCATCTGTCCACGGGGAGGGAATGAACAAGTGTACTGAGAGACGGGTAATGGAGATTGAAAAGTGCTTGGCAGGGCACCAGATAACATTTCCAGAAGTTCCTAAGTCCAATTTTTCAAGCATGTATTAAGCTACAGTGGAGACCAACGTTTTCATAGGAGACCATATATACCCAGATTTTCCCCAAATGCTTTTTCAATACGAGTTTCAAAAGAAACACAAAGATAAAGAGCTTGTGTGGTCTTCACGTCAAGCCTGTCATTCTTCATAGTTTCTAATGATAAAAAGCTCAAGAACTTGCTCCCACTTTCCTTTGAGGTTGAGAGGATACTAGAAATTATTTAGCCATCTCTCTGTAAATCCTGCAACATTATTCTTACCTCCACAATTCTCAGACTGTGGTCTTCAAGAAATGGGAGAGTTGTAGTTGTTTCTGAATCATGGATCAGAGCCAACAGAAAAGGTCAAGATCAAGTTGTTTTCACTTACCTTGCAAAGCAAGTTTAGGGCAATGCATATTCTTAAATCTTTGCATATGTGGAAGCCTTTTTTTTGTTTTAAAGAGGAAATTCTGTCTTGTTGGGATCAGTGCTGTACCACAGTTGGTTAACCAGGAAGATGCTTCCAATGTTTGATGCCAATTCATATACGTACTGGAAGAATATGGCTTTCCATGGAACTTACCTTTTGAGACGTGGCATGCCCATCCTTAAATAATGGGGCAAGTTCACATGGTTTTACCTATCATAGCTCACAGGTGTTGAATAGTCCTTTGTGAATATTTTTCACCTGTACAGGCAATAAAGCTCGTCCAAATGTAATAACCCACTTCCAGAAAACTGAGCGAATAGTGTTGCTGAGCATCGTGTGCTTTTTCAGTGTACCAAACAAGACTATGGGGAAAAGGCAGAAATGGATATCCCTCCCCCAATCTCCTGCTGCTCAAAATGCATCAAGGCATTGCTCAGTGTTAATTACTGCTTCTTATCCATTCATCTAAATCCCAGCCACTCTCAGTAGGATATGCTATCATTTGACGGCATTTTTCAGGCCAATTTAGACTATTTCCTTTGCCTGTAACGTGCTATTTACTCCCTTGGTGTGCTGTGCAGAATAAAAATGTGGTTTTCAACACACAGCCTGGCTCAAAAGTATTTCACTCACCCAAACCACAATTTCTGGTTCATTTCAGACCAGACTCTGGTGCAAGAAACTGAAGGTGTGACTTGGGTCCTTGGACAGATGGATTTTCTCATTGACTCAGGTGACTACTGCAGGACAAAGAGAGAACTGTAAGAAGAGACCTATTGGAGCAGGGCAATGACCCACCCAGAACAGCATCCTGTCCTCACACTGGCCACCCAGATTGTCTGAGGGGAACCTGCAAGCAGAACCTGAACAGAAGAGCACTCTCCCTCCCTCTGGTTCCCAGCAGATGATATTCAGAAGAATTCCTGCCTCCCAACTGTGGAGGAAACATGGCTAGTAGTGCCTGCAGAATGCACCCTGAAGGATATTGGTTCACACCAGAAGAAATGGACATCAAGTCCTCTCAAAGGCTCACCTGGTTCTGCAGAAGAGCTGATATTTTACGTGGCAGGGGTCAGAACCCATGGTCCTCTAGAAGTTATGAGACTCCCAACTCTCATTGATGCCAGCCAGCATGACCAATGCTTGGGGATAATGGCAGGTACAGTCTAACAGTATCTACTGGGTCATAGGTCCTCCTCCCTGTCTTACGCTGCCTTTGCAGCTTCCCAAGCCATATTGATCTATCTGGATGGCACATAAGCCTCAAGGTTACCAAAGCACGCGTGGAGGGATCATAGTTCAGTGCTGGGGTTCATGCTTTGCATGCAGAAGGTCTTATGTTCCATCCTTGGCATCTGCAGTTAAGAGTACAAGCAGGTGACAGGAGAGGGGAAAGACCCTGTGTCAGAGAGAACCACAAAGCCACTGCCAGGCAGAGGAGACGCTGTTGGGTGAGATGGACAATCTTGCCTGGTATGAGGCAGCTTCCTAGGTATGAACCGCCCTGTTAGGGATGCAGTTTTCAAAGTGTGAGGGAAATGATGATGTGGGATGGTTAGGCTAGACTCAAGAATGTCTGCCTGAACAGAAATGGAAGAGTGGTATGTCAATCTTAAAAGAACTTGCGTGGCATCCCACCCCATTTTGAGCACCTTCCAGCCTTCTTACTAAGTGAAGATGTGAAAAGCATTTCCAGCTATTCATGCAACTCTGCAAGGTGAAATGATGGCAGGGGCTGTCATCTTCCTCTTAATGGAGACTGTTATTCCTGCCACGCTTCCAGTATTTCATGGCCACAACTGTGTTGCATGTTCCACGCAGCAGTCAAAAAGCACTTGCTTTCTGCCTTGCAGGACTTGCCTATTCGTTTCCTTAAAAGCCTATGCAAGGGAGTTGTGGCATTGTCAAGAAAGAGGCCAGCAGACCTGATTATTAGAAGTCCTGCAGCTGACAGGAAAGAGGGGGAAAGAGAAAAGAAATAAGTATGTCCCTAGGTAGTTGGATTTTCAGTAATCTGGTACTTTAACTAATCTCCTGTCAAGCTCTTTACAGGTTAACATGTAGCAACAACAATTCTATTTCCTATACAAATTGTGTATAGGCCTGCAATTTAAATAATCTTCTATATATTAGTATTTAATCTGTCAACCTGTCAAGCTCTATTGGTTTTCATAAGTTTCCAACCACCATTTCTACAAAATGAAAGTCAACAGATAACATAGTTCTGTGGCACTGAGGCAACCCTCAGAGCGTCGTCCCAGGAATGAAGTGTACTCTTTTACATGCCTTAAGAGTAGACACTGCAGCAACTAAAAATAAGTTGAGACTTCTGAGCCTGGTGGCCTCAGTGATGCAATCAACTGTTTCCCCCCAAAAGTCAGGCATGATTTCCTTATACCAGCTGCAAAGGGCTGTAGCTCAGCAGCAGAGCAAACAGTTTGCATGCAGAAGGTCCCAAGTCCAATCCCTGCCATCTCCAGGTAGGTCTTGGAAAGATCCCCCATCTGAAATCCTGGGGAGTCATGCCAATTAGCATGGACAATACTAAGCCAGATGGACCAATGCTCTGACTTGCTATCACACCATTTCCTATCTTCCTGTGTGCTGCTAGCAGAGGGAACACAAGCCACTGTACCACCTTTTACCAGATGCTACCAAAGATATTCCCGATACAGGTTAACAATTGTTCTGTGCTACATACCCTAAAGACTATGGCTGCATGCCACTCCCTTGATGAAGTTTGTCCAGCTAGCTCAGCTTCATGGGTCTGCATTTTATTTAATATGAACACCTTAGTAGCCAGACCACTCCCTTCACCTGATGTAGCTAGCACAGCTCCCTGATGGCCACAGTAGCTCATGGTTACTGCAACAGCTTATTGTCACCCCCTGGACCCCAAGCTATTGTGTTTCCTTTACTTTCTAGGCAACCTCCCAACCTCCACCTCTGGAGGTGTAAAAAGGGTCACTGCCAGCTTTCCTGACAGTATAGTAAACGTGCTCTTGAGTAATACTGCTGCTCTACAGAGGCTCATACTAGATCAATTATTTCTGAAATAGGTTTCCTGAAGCAATTACATCCAACATAGACCGTCATCAACCCAATCAAGTTTGAGTTCCTAGCTTGCACTTGCTTTACACTACAAACTTTTAATCACTTTACTAGTCAAACAAGGCAGTGGTTTTGACTGAAGACAAGCCATGCTTATCCATGAGATCTCAGCAATACTGTATTTTTAAACCCTTGTCCTAGACCAACCTTTCAAAATTCAAATAAGGCCGCATGCCACATGCAATTACTTTTGGCTGGGCTTCCCTGACAAGAGACCTGCTTCTTTCTATCATATAAAGTTTCAAAACTATTGAGAAATTCACCATTAGGAGGAAAGGGAAAAAGCAGCAATGGATCCCCATGGATCAGAAAGCAACTTCTATTTAACGCTATCCAAATAACTTCCTCAGACAAGCTGCTAACCTCACAAAAGTTAAGTGCGCCAGGCAGCAATGGCAGGGGGAAAAAATGCTACTGCTAAATCATTTAACTTGGAAATTCAATAAAAGCTACTCTTACAAGCTGTCAAAGCCCAAAGATGATTTAAATAAATATTAACTCCTTTCAGCATGTTAAGGCGCTTAAGACAAGGTCAAAAAGCTTCTTTTGGCAGAAGAATGAGCTGCTTTTGACAGAGGATGTGAGCAACAACAAGAGAAACAGGTTTTTAAATGGCTGCCTTAAAAAGGACAGATGGCAACAGGTTTTGATTTGCAGATCAAACTTTATTTAGAAGACAATATTCATGCATCTCAGTACAGCATCTTATAAAATGCCTGCACGGTGAAGTGTTAACCAGCAAAAATATTGAAGATGTGTGTCTCCTCATGTTCATACTGGCCTCCTTTTGACTTTTTAGCTCCACAGACTGACAATTTCACTTTCACCGTAACTGTATAGAAAACTTCTCTTCTGAATAAATGTAGAGTAACCTTTTCTTCCACACTAAGGGGCCAAGGAGCAGACAAGGGTGGCAACAAGTTGGGTTTGAACTTGGAAGTAGATCCACTGGACATCCGTTGGATCTACTTCTGTGTAAACATGGTTTAGAGTTGCACTGCAAGTAGCTTGCAGGTTGGATGCAAGTGTTTCTTGCAAGCGAGAAGAGAATCACGTTTAATAATAAACAACTTTTTTTGGCATGCATTTGGTAGCAGAATGTTACAGATGGCACAGTGAGGAACGGGGATGGGTAGCATGTGGCCTTTCACTTGGGACTCTAGTGTCCATCATTGCTAAACACTGGCCACTCTGGCTGGGTCTGATGAACATTGAGTACAACCACATTTGGAGGGCTACAGATTTCTCATCCCATGTGCTAAAGGCAGGCTTCCCAGGCCAGCTCAACAAATGCAATTCATCAGCCATGTTCCCCCCCACCCAGTCCCGCTCAGGTTTGCAGTCAAAGACAGGCAGATTTGCTGATCATCTGGTGGGCCAATAGGCATGGCTGGTGTGTTACACTTGGCTTGGTGGGTCATAAATTGTACAGGCCTGAACTAAGGGAATGCAATACTGAAGAAGAAAAACTGACCTGAAGCAGCATGAAAACCCCCAATCTTTGCTCCCAGAATGGGAACTAGCCCTGTCGCTAAACTAGCTCACAGCTAGACTTGAATCTTTGGCAGCTTATGAATTCTACAGCTGTGCCCCCTTCCTACAGTTCCCTCTTATGCTGTAGTTTCTAACCCCAAGTTCAAGGGCTTGACCTGCTTCCCTCAAAACAGGGGACACCCCCCCCCGACTTCTCCAGTTTTGGTTGCAGCAGAAAAGTGAAAATAAATACAGATGACTCACAACTTGCTTGGGAGTTAGATTCAGATCACAATAGCTATAGCCTCAGTAAGTGCAGGAGATGATGTGTAAAGCCAAAATTGTGTGTAGCCAAAACCACCCCAGAACCGCTCCAATGCAACCATCCCTACCTTTCTGGAGCCAGTACACCATGTGAGCCTTGCCACCCAAGCAATGCAGAGCTTATAAGCTCTTTGCCTTGCTTAACGGGCTATGGGAGGCTCTCATACCAGCTCTGGGAGGCTCCTGAGATCTCACTGGAGCCTCCCAGAGACAATGTGAGACTTTCCCAGAACCAGATAGCAAGGTGGAGACCTTAAAAGCTTTTTCCACGGCAGGAAAATGTGATGTGGAAACAGCTTTTAAGCTTTCCGCCTTGTGTATGTTTAAGTTGGGTGACTGTGTGCTGGCCGGCCACCAAGAGCGTAAAGCTGCGATTGTGCAAGTTAAATGCACACAAGTTGTGAGCTGGCTGTACACAGCACAGGCTGGGCAGAGCCCAGGACCTTGGAGGCGATGTAAATCATGCCGTTCCCAGACATCAGACTGATCATTTGTTGAGTGGTGAGACGATAGCTCTTTCTTCATGGATCAGCTGAGGCAGGTGGGCTATGTGCCTGTGTGTGTTCCTGCTTTAGTGTGTGGTGGCTGCACCCAGTTTTGGCCATGCTAACTGATGGCATGCAGCTCCCAACGGATGGGGGCCAAGGGCAGGTGTGACTCTTGTGCTGTAAAAGGAAGCCACCCAGTCACAGCATGCCGAGAAACAGGGCAAATGCCTGCAAGGTTCTGAATTCAGCTTTCTAGGGTTCTGTTCCCTACCATTCCCAACTCCTCCTCCCCATGTACTGCCAAGTTTGAGGGACTTATTTGCTAAGTGTCCCTCAAACTTCCTTTGATGATTGTGTTAGACACATTATACATGTCGCTGCCTGGATTTATTCCACAATCCCTGATGTTGGGGCTTTTTCAGGTTGTCAGACCTGCCTTCCAATTGTGCATGTTCAAGTAAGGATGTGGGGGAAACCATTGCTTTTCTTCTAGTAATACAGTGCTGGTACTCACCATGAAGCTATTACATTAAATGCCACACTTTAAACCAGTGCTTTTCTTCTAGAAAAAAAGGTGCCAGCACTGTGTAGCCTTGAGTGCTTGCAGACAAAAGGCACGGGATGGCGACTCACCAGCCAACCTACTGGCCAATCCTTACTTCTGAACCTCCTCCTTTCTTCCTTCCTTAAATTAAAATGAAGCGGGTGGTGGGGTACACTTCCATGACTGGAAAGGATGCAAAGGAAGGAAGGAAGGAAGGAAGGAAGGAAGGAAGGAATATTAGACAGGAAAGGGACCCCTGGCACATTCTAACAGCCCTCAAGTACTGATAGCTACAGGAGCAAAGCAAACAAAAACCATTTGGCACCCAGCATCTCAAAGGCTATTCCTGATGCCTACAATATTCCCACAACAACACCAAGCCACCCAGACCCCTGAAATTGCTTTGCAGGTATCAGGCACATTACAAAGAAAATGAAATTTCCCTTTTAACACCCTTAATGCAGCTCCAGATCCATCATTCTAATGACCCAAGTAGCAGCTCTCTCTCTCTCTCTCTCTCTCTCTCTCTCCCTCTTTCTCCACTGACCATGTCCCTCTTAAGGTCACACTAAGCCCACCAGAGAGTTCTGTGCAATCCAAAAACTTGCATCCAGTATTTTAGTTGGCCCAATAAAAAAGATTGCCTTCTCACACTGTTTTGTTATAGTCAAGGTCAGATTTGGCTTGGTCGGAGGGTGGGGTGGGGTGGGACAACTGACAGCTCCAGATTTTTTTTTTAAAAAGCTTGCATTTCTAAGATGGCAATATTTGATCATACATATTTGGTAATAAAAAATGTGATGTGAAAATACTGAAACAGTGCATGGGTCAGTGTTCTTTTTTAAAAAAGATAGTAGTGCCATCGGAATTCTTGCTGGGGAAGCTGAAGTTAAGCAGCAGGTACTAGAGTGGTGAGCTGCCAGCACCTCAAGTGCCCACCTGGCCATGCCCCCGTTTTGCATATGCCATGACAGAGGCGTCTGCAGCAGTCGCAATAAGACCTCAGAACCACATGCAGGCTGTCATATCTCTGCCTGCTCCTCCACACTGACCGAGCTTAAGGCTTAAAATAAGATGAGGCCTGATATACTGCGGCTGTGTGGGCTGCTTGGGAGACAGGTGCATAATGTTCTGGGCAAAGTGGCCCTGAGCGCCTGCATCCTCAGCTGATTAGGCCCACTGCCTCTAAAGGACAGGGCAACCTTATCTCACTCCACCGTGCCTGGGATGTGCTTATCCTGAATTAGCATGCAGCATTACCAGCGAGGAATCTGCTGACCCAGGCTCCCAGCAAGATCAGGCACACATCACTACAGGCTTAATTAAAGTTTTACTACTTATTAGAATGTTTTATTATTGTATTATGTTGAAGCGGCAGTGGGCTCCAACCTCATTAAGGGAAACAGAGTAGGAATTATTCAGGGGCTTTGCTTCCTCACTAAAAATCATAATAAAAAAAATCAAAAAATCCTGCATGGCTCACCTCCAGGTTTGATTTAAGTGTGAGCTGATTAAAGTCTGCTTTCCTTTTGGTGGTGGTGGGATGAAAGCGCAGAAGGATCCTGTGTGTTATTTAATGAATACTTGCGCTTAAATGTAAAATTATTTTGTGTGAGGGTGACAGAACCGTATCTAGCCCTGCAGTAATTTACCAAGGAACAACTGCAGAGGGGAAAAGTGTTTAAATCATTGGGAACTGGAACATAGCTCAGTTGGGGAACTTTAATCTCATTACACATCTTGATTTAATTAAATGTGGGGGAGGCTAGCTGAAGCTCTGCAAATTTCTCATCGTTAGGAATTAATTGCAACAATTTTCTTACGTGAACTATTTGAGCAGGCCAAATATGCTTCCTATTGATGTTTTTCCAGAGGCACTTGATTACCATCAGATTTTGCACCAGAAGTGAACACTGGCCATTATTACACCAGGGAAAAAATGGAGTTAACAGGAGATGGATTGTGGCCTTGCCCAACTCCCATGCATTTGAATGGGACTTTGAAGTTAATAAAGGTTGTGCCTACAGCTGCAAGTTACTTGGTAATGATTGGGAAAGTTCTACTTCCAAACCAACCCTACCATAAGTCTCATATAAAAATGTTAAAATTAGCTTTAAAAACATCACAGTGACTTTTTTTAATAAAAAAAGCACAGCATTATAAAGTTGATAGTCTTCATAAAAGTACAAAAATGTGAAATCTATTTGCTTCAACATAAGGAACATGATTCATGGGGTTGTTGTTTTTTGTCCAAGTAAGGAGGGGGAAAACATTGAAGAGGGGAGGATCTTTGAGAGGAAACAGTTCGTGTAAGTACTTGTCACATACAATAAAGCAAAAATCTCCCTTAAAGTACAATATATCCTACCACTTTTAATAACGAAGCTCATGACAGTGTTTCTCTTGGGTTTGGTATTCTTACTTAAAAAGACACACTTAGAAGGGGGGTGGGAGAACAGAATACAGTAACTGAACATTGTAATATGCAGGAGGGGACATGGGGGGGGGGCATTTTGCTTGTTTGTAAAAGCTCATCTGAAAGGACGCCACAACATGCTACATTATCAAAAGAAAAACGAAGAAACCCAACATGCTCCAGTCTTCGAAGTTTGAAAACCACACACAAAAATCAGTCATCAAGTGTGGAACCACAGGTAAAACAAGCAGCCACTAAACATTACAAATGGAATGCTGAGCAACAAGTGTTTGAAAGTCAAGAGAGCTTGAGAAGTACCATACAATGAGGAAGGGGAGCAATGTTCAAATGACGGACGCAAGCCTTTTGCTGGACTATGGTCTTCAGCGACAGCACTCATACAAAGCCCAGAGCTTTGCTTTGGGGCAGATCAACCTGCAGCAAAAATTAAGGACCTGGTGTTGGATGAGCGATGGCACAAAGACAATGCTGTGGCAAGAACAGCATAGCTGTCCCTGCTGGGGAAAACCCTCACTTTTTAGTCCCTGCTAACAGCAAAACTGTACGCAGGGATGTTCTTGGGTTACTTTGCCCTTAGCTGCACAGTGGCTGCTAAGAGACTGGCAGCTCCATCCTTGTCAGCAGAGGGCCAAGTATCCTCAGAGCTGTGCTGTCTGAGAGAGAAGCAAGGGAGAGCAGGGTGTGCGTGTGAAGGGAAGGTTACCAAAAGCATTGCATTGCTGATGGCTATTACAGAGCTCACATCTGGGTCCTAGCATTAGAAAAGGAAAAGGTCACTGGTATACACACCCTAAGCACTTTGGCAGCAAAGCTCTGGGATCCGGGTTGAGGGCTGAGACATCAGAAGATTAGTCTGTGATGCTTAAGCAACCATGGAAAAAGCACCAAGAAAAATCTGGAGAAACTACTCCCAAGTAAATGTTTTTGGATTGGTGTTCCCAAGCACCCTAAGGAAAATAACTGAAGAAGCAACAACAAGACACTAATGGTATCAGCAGGATCATGTTAGCAAGCCAGAACCCTGAGCAGACTCCCCTAGATTAGCAGTAGATGGAAAGACACAACAGCTGGTCCACAGAGGTCCTGGGTAAGTATGCTTTGAGTGCAATGCAGGTGAGACTAAGACTCAGACTCCACCCCCCTTCTCTGTATGTTGAGCATCGTTTTCATGGGGGATGTGCCAGCGTGCTTCACAAAAGAGTCACTCCCACATGACACTGAAGACGTCAGGGTGGAGCTTGCACCACACCACTTGTACAACGTCTGCACCAGAGCCCTTTCTGAACCAGCCTTCTGTAGTCTAGAAAAGCTTTCTGGACACATAAAAACATTATCAGCACAAACCCTTTCTAATGATCACAGTAATTAAAAGGTAAAACACTTAACCCAGTGTACAATGATTCCACCCCGCTCCATGAACCGTTTCTGTAAACTCTTGGCATGAGCTGCTGCGGTCACAGCAAAGCTATGTAGTCTTTTTATGTCTAGCGAGCTTGTAAACATGGAACGTTTTGTTCTGAAATACTTTAGCAAAATACATTGTGTATGAAGGCAGGTCTCGTTTGATTTCCTCACAGAAGCGAGGATGTGGCGAATGTTTTAAATCAGGATCATTCTCCCCAGGACCATCCATGGTCTGTAACAGAAATTACAAGTTTGTTCAAACATCTTCTTGTTACCACATTCTAAAACAATGAACTGCTCTCTTAATGCAATACAAAGGAAACGCACTAAGCTGTACAAGCACCAGATGCCATTGTATAGTCAGAAAAAAGCCCACAGCTGCCCACACACCATACACCAGAAAGCACACGCACCTCACACACCCAGCAAAGAATCCTGTAGTTTGTTACAAACTGCAGTTTGTTAAGGGTGCTGGGAATTGTGGCTGTGTGAGAGGCAAACTAGATTTCCCTAGATTCTTTGGAGGAAAAATGTGCTTTCAGTGTATGGCACGTTGTACTTTACTTGATTCAATCCTATATTAATTCACATGGGCAATCCTAACGCCTGACCACAGATTACAGCACAATTCTAACTACGTCTACTCAGAAGTTAGTCCAGCAGAATTCAATGGGGCTTACAGGCAAGTGGGATTAGGATTGCAGCCTTCTTTATAAACTCCAAACAGAACATAAATGCTAGATTTCCCAGTGACATAATAGTCCTGCTGTCTGGTTCATAGTACATTTCACACTATGTTTGCTGTGTATTTAAGGCAAGACAGCCAACCAAGACACCATCCAATTACTGTTGGTACAACTCCCATCGTCCCTAACCATTTGCCAGGCTGCTTTGTGGCTGATGGGAGTTGGAGTTTAACAACATCTGGAGTGCACTGTGTTGGCTACAAAGTCACAGCGTGTTACAGGGAGAGATGATCCTGTGCCAGAGTTCCTGCAAATACTGTAATGCAAACAGGAAGGCAGGCTCCAGTACTTACGTGGCCATTTGCTATGTCCAGAAGATCACGCAGCCGACAGCCCCTGCTGTGTCTTCTTTCATAACAAATACTGTCCTCCAGGATCACAAAGTCAGTCCCAAAAGATCTGAGGATCCTGTAGACTTCTTCAGGAGATCTTTTTGCATACACCTGATAAACCTAGAAACAGTGTAATTTAATTAGAATTGTGATTCCCACCCCCATTTCTGCCATTTCTTTATTGCTCAAAGTTGGAAAAAAAAAGACAACTCAAGAGGAGCATAAGACAGAGATTTATGAAATAACGTGGAGAAATTTGACAGTCCCCTGCACCTGTTCCATAATACTAGAATTCAGGGTCATCCACTGAAATTGGATGGAGGTATATTTCAGAACACACAAAAGGAAGAACACACGCAACACAAAATTGAAGTATGAAATTCACTGTGCCAAGATATGGTAACAGTCACTGCCTTAGATGGCTTTAAAAGACAAATTCGTGAAGAAGTCTGTCAATTAGTCATGATGGGGCCCTCTGTATTCAGAGAAAGTATACCATGGAATACGACTTGATGGCAGGTAACAGCAGGAACTGGCTTGCAGCCTTGATGGCTGCTTGTGGACTTCCTGGGAGCACCCTGCTAATTATTGTGGGAAATAAGACACTGGGCAAGATGGATCTTTTGTCTGGCTTAGTGTGGCTCTTTTGCATTGACTAAAATAGAGATATGGATAAGAAATGGGTACAAAAAAAAGACCAAAGAATCTGAATGTACAACTTCTGAAATATAAAGGAAGGGAATACTCTCTACAAGATTGCTACGTAAGTTACAGCAGCACCTTAAATCTGGCTCAGCATCAAGTTTGTGTTTGGGATGGGATGTCAAACTTAGCAGTCTAGCACCAGCTATGGCTTCCTGACCAGACCTAATGGCAGCACTGCATAGAACGCACTCAGTAATTAAGTCTTGAGGTTCTCAATACCAGATTATGTTAGGTCCAGGTGCAGTTGCTGTTGGTGTGTTGATTACAAGTTGGGCCTTATGTGATAATGGTGGATCAAGGAGAACCCCCAAACAGTGCATCTGTTCCCTCAGAAAACAGTTTTGGTAATACTGATTTCATTTTAATCACTGCTGAGTGCCTTGCAATGAATGTTTGACTTGGGCCAGGTGTTGGTGGGAGACAATGGAGCTTCCTTTAGCTACACCCATTAATAACTTTATGCCAGGCCTGACCAATGGCTCAGCTGTAAGGACTTGCTGAGAAGGTCTCCCTTACCTGTTTTGTTCTTTCTCTCAGGCTCTTGTCCTCATAGTGGGGGTGATTTGTTAAAATCCTTCCTGTACACAGCTTGACGCCTGCTAAGAGCTGCATGCTTCCTGCAATCACTGACTTCTTGGGGGTGTTAGACCTGGGCAAATATTAAGAACAACTTTATTATCATATTGGTATAACTGTATAGCTAAAGTTATACTTTGTAATATAGACAAGAGAAATTCCTATATCCTCACATCTGCTTGCAAAACAGCTACATTTGGTTGCAAGAATTAATTTTGTTTTAAATTAATTAGTTCTTAGACAATTAATGTGATTTGTGTGTGTGTCTGTGTGCTGATCTAGTTAAAGAAAGAGAGACAAGGGATGTAAAAACCCCAGTCCTTTTCAAAAGGACTTGAACAGCTTTCTCAAGCAAGTGCCCCCGAGACTGATGGAGGGAATATCACTTTAGTGGGTTTTATCTGGCAACTCTCTTTGCAACTGGAGCGAAAGATGAAGAAGCAGTCAAGGACTGAGAGTTGGCAAATACATACCCAAAGTCGCAGATTTTGTCTCCATTGGAGGCAGACTTAGGCCTTGTGGGGCTCTAGAGGGGACCATCTCTACACACACACTTATTTGCCCCTGCAACTCCCTCAAGCCCCATGTCTTTTGACCAGACTTCATTTTGGGGTTTTAGGATAGGCTTAAGAATTAAGGCAACAGTCCATGCAGGTAAGAGTTAGGTCAACCATCCTAGTAAAAGCCATGCAATTCAGAAGGGCAAAAGCATCTTGCTTATAAGGGATAAGGCCTTTAAAACACTCATCCTGAAGTAATACAATCCCAGGCTGGCTGTACTGTAATCATAAGTAACAACAGAAATAAGATGCCCATGTTGTTATTGCAGATACCTGATTGAAGGTATACAATTTAACAAACAAAGAGAAGAGATCATTTCAAGAAAGCTGGAAAGCTGCCAACATGAACATTTCTCTACACTTAACTATGTGTACCTGCCCAAGTTATTGCACATTATTTAAGCTCTCACTTAATTTTCCATTGAATTATCTGATCAAACTTTGAATATATTAAGAGACAACCATAAATGTTTGCTATAGCCCCAAAGGAGAAAACTTGTAGCAACGATGCAAGACATACCACAGGGCTGCTTTAAAACTTCTTACAAGGCCAAGTGAATCTCATATACAGATAGCAGAGTTAATATTTTTTAGCAAGCCATTTAAACTTTTGATGAAAAAAGAAAACTGTCAGTTTCTCTTTGACTTCTAAAGCCAGCTTCTTTTGAAAAATCTCTTTGCTCCGGTTTAATATTTTATAATTACATTTAAAATATTCAAAGTCACAAATACCATGAAGCGAGGTGGTCTCAGCATATGAATCGGCAGAAGAACTTAATGTGATGCGTGTGCGTAATCATCTCTCCCCATTAGCCCAAGTTGGGAGATGAATTCCAGACAGGTCTCAAGCTGAGACCTCAACCATCTGAGCTGGAAGAAACTCTGCCAAGGGCCAATGCAGCACCCGTTGAAAAGTCAGATTGAAAGAAGACCGTTAGGTCGACCCATGCACTTCCTATGTCTCTTGCAATATGAGAGATCTGGGACCTCATCCATGGTAAGTATTCTGGGACTTTTAAAAAATCATTTAATTATTTAATTTATAATCTTTCCACCCAGCTGAAAGATCTCTTAATGCAACAAATAATGAAACTGAATCACAAAACTAAGCATAATCAAATTAAATAGCCAGCAGCAATAAAGAGCAAAAGACGGGCATCATTCAAGATAAGGCCCAGGAAAACAGCAACAATTTGATGCCTAACAAGGTTAACAGTGATGAGATCAGACAGGGTCACCAGTGACTAGGCATCACCACTGAGAAGGCCTAACCTCTGAAGGCAGAGAGACCCAGAGCAGGACCTTGGCTGATGACCTAAGCAATTAGGATCACCAAACAGTCAATGTTTTACTGGTCCAAGCAGTAAATGTCAATTCTATGTGGGAACCAGCACTTGGAGCTGAAAACCCAGCTGACTTCTGACTCTGCCAGTCATCAACCATGACCCCTGTCAGGTTTTGCCTAGTTCTATCCAGAGCCGGGCACATTCTTCCTGACTTGTCAGATTCTGCCATGGCTCCACTGGTGGCGATTTCACCAGGATTTTGAAAATGAGATGAGGTCTACAAATTCAACTGGGGTGCTTCAGTAGAAGGAAGAAAAGAGGAGTCAGGATTCACCTGTGCTTCTTCCCTTGGATCTCCTTAATGGTTGAATTTACTACAAATAAGTGGCAGAAATGTAGAGTAATTCTCCCAGGGAATGACCACAAAAGGGGGACAATTAGCCAGCATGGTCTTAGGCACATTGCAAAGAGGAACACCGAATTCCTCTGCTCTAATCCTTATTGCCCAATGCAGCTGCTAAAAAGCTCAGCCTGAATCTTACACAGCTAATGTCTTCAAAGGCCCAAATGACACTTTTCCATTATGGAAAAACGAAGCAATTTTTACAAATGTCTGAACAAATGATGTATAAAATGAAAGCATAATTTGTTTTTATAGGTTTCTGCCAAGCTCCATAACCGGGCTGCCCAACCTGCAAACAATTTATTCTGCAAGAAATGTCACTAAATAATGACAAGGACTTACAGGTCAAACTGATTTACATTATGTAATTTAAATGTCATTCCAAGCGGACCTGATGGCATTTTGAACAAATAATCTCATTTATTTTTGAAGCTCTAAGCTTCAACAAGTTAATTACTGCTGAACTAATGGGGTAAACTGAGCACTATAATACAAAATGGGAACCTCTGCTTTATCTACACTTTTAAGAATTATAGGATTACTACAAAATAACTCATTTACAACAGAAAGCTTTAATGGGAATTACAGGGCTCCATGTACGATTTTGGAGGAAGGTGGGTGGAAAGAACCCTGCTTAAGATTCTAGGAAAATTCAAAGCAAAAAGTCATGCTTAAAGAGGAAGATTTATTTGATGGTCAAATCAGAAGAGATAAATTATGAACATTTTATGCACATTTTGAGCTCCTCCACTTTAGAGCTTAGTGCTGCAAATAATGTATCTACAAGACACTTCTAAATGCAATATTAGAAATGTCAGAACTTTGAGACTTCTAGAGAATTAGGATGGCCGCTGATGCAGCTTCAAGGCATAAAGTAACAAAGAACAGGAAGATACAGTGGTACCTTGGGTTACATACACTTCAGGTTAAATACGCTTCAGGTTACAGACTCCGCTAATCCAGAAATAGTCCTCGGGTTAAGAACTTTGCTTCAGGATGAGAACAAAAATCATGCTCCGGCAGCGCGGTGGCAGCGGGAGGCCACATTAGCTGAAGTGGTGCTTCAGGTTAAGAACAGTTTCAGTTTAAGAACGGACCTCCGGAACAAATTAAGTACTTAACCCGAGGTACCACTGTACCAGGAAGCACTTTTTAGAAAAGCCAATTTTTATGGGGGTTAGAAGTTTGACTGAGTGCTGCCCACTGCCACACACCCCTACTTTGTTCCTCATTTCAGCACAACCTATCCATTTTAGTTCCATTAGCCCAAACAAAAGGATGCAGCATACACCTGCTTATTCTGGTTGATGCTGAAGGCACCTTTATGCTATATTTCCCTTTTTTTAAAAAAAGCTGTTTTGTGCAAAACTGCTATTGCACAAAACAGTTGTATTAAAAATAAAACTGTCCCCTCAGGAAGAACCAGCAGGTACAGAAGGCATTTGTTCCTTCATTGGACAAAATGATGCTTATTTCCAATTGCTGCACACTGGGGGCACGTTTGCAGAACATAAATCAACCTCTTTTTTGTGTTTGTTTTTTAATATGAAGGTTTGGCAAGACTGCTCTTGCACAAAACCTCTGTATAAAAACAATAATTTAAAAATACAAACAGTAATCCACAGCCAAACATGAATTGGGAATGAAGGCACATTTGCAGATCATAAATCAATCTTTTAATTGTTTTATTTAAGTTTTTAATTCAGAGCTTTTGTGCAAAAGCAGCGTTGTGCAAAACTTCCATAATACATTAGACACACACACACACACAGAGAGAGAGAGAGAGGAACTGACAGTTACAACATGAACTGGGAGGTAAAGGAGATAGGAATATGGAAGCAAGGTGGTCAAGGGTCCTTAGGCTCCAGTCCACTACTGTACAAGAACGGGAATAAAACATGATGTACAGCATGCAGCACAATTCACTGTATATTGAATAGCACACCCCCTTTCAGATAACACCTTCTTAAGAAAGCCTGATGGTCCGTAATGATAAATTTGGCTTTCAAAACCTTTCTGAGGCAGAAAACTGCAAGCCAAAACAAAACAAAAAAAGTTATCCTATGCAGAAAACCCTGAATGAGATGAAGTTCAGCTGAACTTTTAAAGGGGCCAAATGAATAATGACTGAATCATTTCTGACACCAGGAGCTTACAAGGCAAGAACATATCAGTCCCAGTTTCAGGTGCAAGGCATAAATTGGTTGTCGACTGCTGTTAATGCAAAAGTAATTAACTTCTCCTTACGTGCATAACATTCGCTCTTTGACACAATAAATTCCAAGTAGCAAACAACAAAAAAAGTGTCTGTCATGATTTAAAAGGAAAAGAGGATAAGCAGCAGTTTAGTATTCTCTGCTCTGGGCTTGTGTGAAAAATTGCTCTCATTGCAACCAGTCAAATCCAGTTTGTGGCTGAAACCAAAGCCCCATGTATATTTTATGTATAAATCTATATATAAAACACTGCATATTGTACTCCAGAGACCAGGGCTATCAAACATTTAGCATCTCTTAATACAGAAGTGGTACTAAAGACCCCTGGCTGGTGAACATTAGTCATGAGAACATGTCAATATGGTAGCAAAGGGATGGAGATGACTTTGGTCTGCATTCACAATGGTGGTGAAGATTTATATTACCTATTTACTCATGAATAATTACACTGTCTGTTAACCCTACCCAAAAAAAGAGGAAAAAAAGGTAAAAAAAGAAGCAGCAATGCAGTGCTGCAAGAGGCAAACATATCCCGCTAACTGACAAAGTCTTCCACCCCCGCAGCACCACTTTTTATAGAGGAAGCTATAGGTCAAGGATAAACGAAATAGGAGGCCCACAGGTCACATCCAGCCATATCTTGTGGTCTCCAAATGCCTCTCTCTGGTGCCAGGTTGGGGGCCATTTCCAACATAGCAGTTGGGGTGGGGGAAGGACTGGACTCTCCAAGCCAAGGTGCAGGAGGGCTGAAGCCTCCCCCCCGCCCACATTCTGATGCTCCATAATGGCATCAACTCCAGGAAGCCTTGCTGGAATGGGTATAGCTCCCCACCCCACCCAAGCTGAATAACATGTTAGGTACTTCCTCCCAGCACACAGTGAGAGAACATCACTTAAGCACCTGTGAAAATCTTCTGTAATATCTTTTCTTTGTACTGGAAGTGGTGCCTACCATGTTGTTTAGTTGTGGAGGGCAAGAGATGAGTAGGGCTTGACCCATCTGGGAAGGTTCTTGAGACAGTTGCTACCATGCAGTGGAGTGTGTAGGTTCAAGCCTCCAAACACCTTGCCTGGGAGATTCCAGCCACCCATGATGATGAAGCTGGCCATCAATGTTCTAGCCAAAAACTATAAGAAGTTGCTGTAGTCAAGAGGAATTGCGCACAGTGATTGCAACAAAATCACTAACCACAGGCCAAAAGCTTCTCCGTGTTACATTGCCTGCTTTCTGGAATTGGTCAATATAGGTCACCGATGGAACCAGAGAGCAGCAACACTAAGAACATCAGCTAACTCTAAAGAGCGTCTAATTTAAATAAAGTAAAAATCCTCTTACTTAATCCAGTTCATCAGCTCCACTGTGTCTGGGTCATAGAATTCCCTCAGCTCTGACAGCTCAGCCATCACACCAGGCCAGAACTAGAAGAAAAACCACACGGGGGGGGGGGAGAGTACAGAGAATAATCCACATGTCAGATACTGGGATGGAGCTCAATTCTGTAGCAGTTAGAAATGGCTGCTTTTAGAGAATGAGTGGGAAAACCTGACTGATCTCCCAGTCATACGAAGAAGTAGGTTTTGTGCTCTGCTCAGCAGCAGCTGCCTTGTGTTTTAAAACATTACAAATGGGAACGGTTTGGACTAAAGCAGGCCTACACAAAGAACAGTAAGCTGGGAGGCTGCAGCAAGATGTACTGCAAGTGAAGATGGTGTTCTGTTCATTGTGTCCAAAAACAGATCTCACAAATCACCAGCCACTTGAAGGAAAAGTGATTTTCCATGACAGCAAGTGACAGGACAACCCCTCCTCCCATCCCCAAAAATGAACTAATTTTGAAACCTTCCCCCTCCTCACTGGCTGCTTTGTTTACGGAAAGCATGGTGGCAAGAGGGAGGTCAGTGGGGGATGTTTCATCCACTTCCTTGCCTGTCGCTTTTCACCCCCAGAAGCCATGTTTCTCCCCGTGAGGTTCCAGGTGTGTGTTTGCAAGGGCAAAAGGATGTCCAGAATGTCACATAGAGAAAAGGAGATGGTTGGAATGTGTGTTTGTATGGGACCAGGAAAATAGGGAGCAGGGAAAGGGTTAAACAAACAGCCACAGTTGAAGTTGAACAAATAAATATTTCAAGCAATGTATCTGGACTTACAGCAACCACATGTCTCTAAAGAAGCTTTCATTAGCTTATTCGAGATTAGGTTATAATCCCCCCCCAAAACCACCACAGGTTTGGGAGGAGAGAAGCTAATGTATATTTTGCTTGGGAAAAAATGTATCCACAGAAGGTAGTTCAACCTACTTACTGAAAACGAGATGCTACTTACAAAGAGTTTCAGGACATAACTAACTGGAACTGCTTGTGCAAAAACTGGAGGGGATTCAGGGAGTGTAGAGAAAGGTTTTGATGATATGAGAGGTCTTCTGCCTCTGCCTCTGCCTCCATGGGAAGGTGATGCAGAGGGGAACCCACAGGCAGGTGACAGAAAGGGCACCCAGCGCCCCAGGTTCTATGCACGTTGCTTTGATGTGCATAAAAATATGACTGAGCTGGTCAGATTTGATCCCCAGTTGGAAGGGGTCTGGGTAGGACTAAATTGAGGCATACCCTTCTGTCTCCCCAGCAGAGCTGATTAAGGCTGTCAGAGCTGACAGCACTAGTTGGTCTGCTTATTGAGAAGAGAGAGGGCAACCTTTGCACTCATCAGCCAGTATGAAGCCTGGTGCCGCATGATATAATCTTTAGAGATCTATGCATAAAAGTTGGTATCTGCCACCATTTGCTTTCAAGCGAGAGCTAAAAATAAAAAAAGACACATCTTGCAGCAGTTTCTATTTTTAAAAGTGTAGTGAAGTAAAACACCAATCAGTAAAGAGTACTACAGTGAACATTTGTTGCTTTAAAAATGGCTCATACGTAGCAAACAGAGTATATTTGCAATGAGCCTTTCAACTGAGTACTGAAAAAACCTACAGGTTCTCTGTCATGATACAATGGGCCAGAGATTTTGGCTACAATATACAATTTAAAGATTGGATTAAATTATGGAATGAAAACATTAAGTTTACTGCATGTACTGTGTTAAAGGAAAATGTTATGAAAATGATTTATAGATGGTACATTACACTGGTAAAACTTGCAAAAATGTATAAAACATGTAAGAAATGTTGGAAATGTAAAGAAAAGGATGGTACCTTTTATCATATGTGGTGGGAATGCAAGAAAGTGAAGAGCTTCTGGGAATTGATATATAAAGAATTGAAAAAAATGTTGAAATATACATTTGCTAAGAAACCAGAGGCTTTCCTTTTAGGAATCATAGGAAATGAAATAAACAGAAAGGACTGTAAACTTTTCCAATATGCAGTAACAGCGGCAAGAATATTATTGGCCCAGAGATGGAAACAGGAACAAGTACCTACTTTGGAGGAGTGGAGAATGAAGCTGATGGACTATGCAGAACTTGATAAAATGACAGGGAAGATCAGATACCAACAAGATCAAAAGTTTATCGAGGACTGGGGAAAATTAGTCGAGTATTGGGGAGGTATAAGTGATAATGAAATAACGTTAGTGGCATTTAAAGAATTGTAAGAAAGAAAAACAGGTGTGGATGGGTATGTTAAAAGGCAATAGGAAACTCAGGAAATGTGTAACTAAAAATTTTAATTCGGATGATTGTCAGAATGACTGATGGAAGTCCAAAAATGACAAAATTTGTTAAGTTGATATGTTTATCTATTTTACTATTGGTGAAAATTAATAAAAATATTATATAAAGAAAAAGAAAAAACCTACAGGTTCAGAAAACAAAACAATTCTTGCAGAATGTAAGTTATATGTTTAATTATCCTTGTAAATATTTATCCAATGATAGCAATGAGATTTATTTGTTTAATGTATTTGTATCCAGATTTTGTGTGTGTGTGTGTGTGTGTGTGTGTGTGTGTGTGTATGTATATATATATGTTGCATTTATATAGCACCTTCCCACCAAAGCACACAAGGAGATTTACCATTTTAAAATACTAAAATAAATGACATAAAATGTAAACGTGGCCTGGAGTTAGGAGAGGGGGCAGTCTGACTAGAGAAGTTGTCTTTAGGGCAAAACCTTCACAAGGTGGCTTACAGCAATTAATAATAAACTATTAATAAATTAATAAATATCAAACAACTAAAACAGGAGCAACTGAAACAACGTCAAATAAGGATAAAAGGCTGAGTTTTTAAAAAGTGGTACTTAAGCCACCAATGAGGGTCCACTCTAAATGAACCTTGTGTGGGAGGGAACTCGCAAAGATGTGGGTCCAACACTGAAAAAGCCCTATCCATGGTACCTGGCAATCTGATGGTTCTTCGCAGGAAGCCAGAGTGCAGGTCCTTGGGCCCAGTCTCTGGGCCCAGGTAAAGTTAATAAAGTTAATAAAGGTGCCACATTTTATGATGTCAACAGAATGTGGTTTTCAGTTTCACTTTTATGAAAGTGTAACTTGTAAATGCCATATCTGCAAAAATGTACTGTTCAAAGGAGGTAACAGGGTTTAACTGGACCAACGACCGGTATACAGAATATATTATCACAGGTCTCCTTCCACAGGTGTAAAGAAAATGCCATTCCGCTACAGAGTCAGGTTGGTTATGAATACTATTATTTTCACAGCTCTTTTTCAAGTTATGTCTTCATTGATAGAAATTATTGTATAAGGAAGTGTGACTTCATATATTAAAAAAAATATCGGCATAGAAATCAGGGAGCTGATGGGTGGTTTGATTTCCTGATATATGAGATGAGGGGAAAATATTCCTAGTGTAACATAATTCACATAAATGATTTTCTCATGTACATAGGTAAGAATGTAAGAATAGCCTGCTGGATCGGGCCAATGGTCCACCTAGTCCAGCATCCTGTTCTCACAGTGGCCAACCAGATGCCTGTGGGAAACTAGCCTGTACTTGACAGTGTGAAGGAAAGTTAATGTGAGCAGGGTGTGGTACACATGGCAATCTGGCAGCCGTCTCTGGCAAAAGTGCAGCCATGATCACGGAGTCTACTTCTGTGCATACCATTGGTTGACTGTGACCTTTCTCCGCATGGCAGTATATCTCTCATGGACAAATGTAATAGGGAGAAATGGCTCTTAGTGGCTGATAAATTTTCCTTATTTTCTAAAAGTACTTTTCCTTAAAAGAAAGATACAGACTAACAAAGAGCCCTACCTTGTAACAAAGATACAGTAATATGAGTACTGGTGTCAGATATCTAATCACAGATACCTAGGCAGAAAACAACAACAATTACATTTACTGAAATAAAACACTGTCAATGAATGATCAACAAATTCTGAGAACAGAGACAACAGGAGCTGCTTCACAAATTGCTTTTTAGGTCAAAGAGCCTCTTTGTGTTAGCAATTTCCTTCTCTAAAAGTAATTCCATTAAGAACTTTAACAAAATACTGTGTATTAATTTAGCTTCTGTGAAGCGCAAAATATTGTATTGGGCTATATGTGAAAAATTATATACTGTTGTCACTTTGATTTTTCATGAAAAGTGTTATTTTTTAAAAAAATGCATTCCATAGCTTCTGCAACATCACCATCTAGTGGACTTAAACAGAATTCCTTTAATAAGTTACACTCCCAAAATGCACCCTGAATTCCAGATTAAACCATATATAAATCTAAACACTTTCCCTCCAGCGTACTGCAAATCTGTTTTAAGCGTGTGGTGGTTCACCTCAGGCTACCCCTTAAAGAACTGGATTTTTCACACATCAATGAAAACAAGCAAAGCAATAGCACGTAACAGCTCTAACTAACCCTTTGCGGTGTGTAAAGATGGACAAATCTCAAGATCAGGCCCCACATGTCACAACTGCACAGACCAGAAGCTGCAAACACACATATGTGGGAAGTCCAAAGATATTTCATCCTGCAAGATGAAAAGAAAGAAAGAAAATGCAGAATGTGGAGGCAAGTTGAACAGTAATAGTATATAGATAATGTAATCTGTAACAGCATACAGACTTTAAAAAATAACTTTATTTTACTTCCAGAATATTCAGTATCTTAAAGCACCTACAAAGATACTTTTTTTGAAAATCAGTTCTGGCAGCTCATCAAATAGAGCTGGAAGTAAAATCCCTCTGTATCCTAGTTTGAGTCCAGTTTCCACAGGACAATTTTATTTCATAACTGGGACATATGTTATGGGGAAAAAGTAAGGTAAACAGACCGAATAGGAATTTATAGTCTATTTTATATGGTACTTTATACTCCACATGTAATATCCAGTGCCCAATATGTATGATGTGTCAGATAAAGGGTACCTCATTGTGCTCAAAGCCAGCAATCCAAACAGAATGGTGTGCACTAAATTGTAAGCAACACCTGGTTTCAGCAGAGTTATGCACTTTTGCAGTTTATCCGCAGGTTTGTTGTTCACAGAGCCACTGAGTGAGAGGGAAACAAAAGAAAAGGAGCACGGCTACATTAGCAATACGTTATTTTAAAACAGGACATTTGTATGCAGTTCAAAGGAACCTCCTGGTTCCAGGGAAAATAAAACATTCTAAGGCAATACTAATAGATTTTTCATGCTTGCCGAGTGCTTTAAATATTCCCCTGTGCAAGATTTTCTGCTTTCAAGCTGGACTGGCAAACGGTGGAACATGAGTGAAATAAATATGAAAAACAAATAATTTTATTTGCACATCATAATACTACAAATGAAACATAAATGTTTGAGGAGGGGTGTGTGGAAACAGATGGTTGACAGCTAATACCAAATTTGCAGTTAGGAGTACTCTCCTGGTTTTACACAAAATACTGGTCTCAGCTGCTACTAGGAATTAGCAAGTGTTGGGATAAAGCTGACAAAAGTTTCCCAGATGAGAATCCAGTTCTACAGAGCCACCTTCTCTACAATATCTATCATCTATCTATCTATCTATCTATCTATCTATCTATCTATCTATCTATCTATCATCATCTATCTATCTCCATTTACTTGGTCATTTTTACTTGGGTTCCAGTAGATTTCCCCCTGCCCAGGTGAATCACTTTTGTAACAAAAGTCAAAAGAAAAAATCCACAGAAAATGACCAACAATTCTGCATACCATTGCAAAATATCCAAAAGTGGCCTATGAGGTTGGGAGCAAAAATGATCTATTTTTCCTGGTAATTAAAGTTGTTGTTTGCTGTGAGCATAAATTCCACCGAGAGCTGCTGCCAGTCAGGGGAGAGGCAACAATGAGTTTGATGGACCAATGGTCTAGCTCAGTACAGTGGTACCTCAGGATACATACGCTTCAGGTTACAGACTCTGCTAACCCAGAAATAGTGCTTCAGGTTAAGAACTTTGCTTCAGGATGAGAACAGAAATCATGTTCTAGAGGCGTGGCGGCAGCAGGAGGCCACATTTGGTAAAGTGGTGCTTCAGGTTAAGAACAGTTTCAGGTTAAGTACGGACCTCCGGAACGAATTAAGTACTTAACCTGAAGTACCACTGTATAAGGCTATGTTCTCTCTAACATGCAATGTTTCATTGGAAGGATGTGTGTGTGTGTATGGAGGAATATTTTGTTATGTGATGGGCATCTGTTGGCTTAAGTCGTATAGCAAAGACACAAGTTTACTGCCTCACTGGAAACTAGGCCTTATTAACTCTACTCGAGCAGCATTAAATTTGTTGTGGTTTCTGGACTGTGCTGACTACTGGCCTGAAATGCATCAGTAACCAAACCTTGCTACAGTGACATGCTTCAGCAAGTGAACTAGCCAATATACACATCATTTTAAAAACTGAGGCTGCCACTGCCAGAGTTATATATCTTGGGTTCAGAAAACCAATTCTCTCTTAGATAATTGGCTCAAATCTGAGGCAAGCATGCCCAGATGCTGAACTATGACTCTGTTCATGTCTTCCTCTTCTTATCAACAAGAAAGGAAAAAGACCCCCTGCACTGAAAACATAATCCTGCAAGATAGAAACAGACATACCTGAGATTTTGAAAAGCAACCACAGCAGATGTTATGGTCATCACCAAGAGCACAAATATATAGGCATAGAAAACTAAAGTGCCCGAAAGTCTTGTGAAAGTATTAAAAGGCAAGAGACCAAAAGCTTCCTCGCACAGGTACAGGTTAGCATCAAAATCTCTAAAGAAAAGGAAGACAAGTCAACATTGCAAAGTTATTGGCATAATGTGTGCGTTTTTAAAAATATAAGAAAATTAGTCCTAAAGTTGCATGTTAGAAAGTGCTCAAGCAAGATCAGTAACTACAACTCAGAATTTACAAGCAAGAGCCCATGCTGCCTTATTGCTATTTGTTGCATTTCTAACTTGCCCTTCATTCAAACAAATCCCTGGGTTTTTCAAACAAAGCAATAAACTACAGCAGTGGACGTAATGCCCCCCAAATTCTGAAACCCTGGTTTCAGTACCACCAAAAGTGAAATAGAACAAGTATTTTGTGCTGGAAGTCCATCAACATAGAGGGTAACCAACCTTTAGGGATGGGGTATTCTATCGCTGGGCAGCATCACAGAGAAAACCCTATTCTGTCTCACCATCCCTGCCAATGGGACAACCTGAAGAGCCTCCACTGCCGGTCTTACGGCACAGGTTGGCTAGTAAACCTGTTTACTAGAAATTTGGGTCCCTCCCATGCCAAAAATCTAGAGGAAAACAATTTTGTTTTGAACTCTGAACAATACCATACCTTGTTGCTCCAAATCCAAACTTTGCCTTCAGAAATTTAAATATATGCTCATCTGACTCCAGATTAAGAACTTTCTGTGAAGAGAGAAAATAAAAGTTATTACTTTCTTTTAGTTGTGAAGACAACTCTGCCATCACCATCACAACATTTCACAAGTGCCACTTTTCCCCCCTTTGGTTTTTCTTAAAATTGTATTCCACAGCACTGAGATCAGCTATAAGCCTCTGCTTGATCCCTGATAGAAAAAGGCAGCAGCAGAGACACATCTCCAATCTTAGTGTTGTAGTACCAGTGGGCCAGAGGTTCCCCATTGCTGGTTTAAACGTTGTTTGTTAGGTGGTTTAAATCTGTGATTGTTCCTGTGAGTTGAAATTTAAATAGCCCAGCATCATATTAGATCAGGTGACTGACAGGTAGGTGTGCAGAGAGGGGGCAAGTTCGAGATCCATCCTCTGGCTGGACCCAGTATCCCACCCCTGGTTTAAACTGACTGAGGAAGGATGTGAAAAGAAGAAAGCAGAACATCGGCATGTAGTTGAAGTTCATTGTATATTTAGGCATCCCAAATGTAAAGCTACATATTCCATTTGTGTGTGTAGCTATACAATGTTAGGGAAAAGCAAAGCATTTGTAAAAGCAGAACACATTTGGAATGCTAAATTCAATTTTGTCTGTTGTACAGACAAATAAGAAACAAAATTTCTTTACAAACGCACTATGAATTTGCACATAAAGCCATTTAAGGTTACAAACCAATGCATATAATATGCGAACAAACATAGTATTGCACTGTAAATCTGTTATACATATTGAACAAGATACTATACAGATTCAATTGGAAAAAAGATAGAAAAAAAAGGATTTACTCACCTTAATAAAATTATTTACAAGAAATGTCAAGCACAGCACTAAGAGTATGTGAAGGAAGAGCTTCCCAAGCCTGCTAAAGAAGCCACCAGTTTTCAGGTTATTCTGGAAAATGTAAGCAATGGTATTTTAGTGTTTGCAAAGGAACACTGGGCACTCACAGTGAATGTTTTTTCTGGTTTGGGGTGTATGAGGCATTGATTACTAAGGGGCTAATCCCTCCAGACAAGACGGGGGACTTGCATTTTAAGGTCTTCAAGGAAGTCCTATCCTGCATGGTTTGTATGAATGTGCACTGACTCACCAGGCTGTGGCGCAGATGCCTCGTTCACTCCAAGCCAAAAAGAAAATCCACAGTGAATACGTAAAATTTGATGTAAAAGAAGCATCCATTACTGATGTGATAATGTCCTAGCTAACCTAACTGTCGGGTAAATCCAATCACGGTGCTTATAGCTGAAATTTCTGTGGGAAGACATGCTGAAGCCCACTCCTGACAAAAGCTCTCCTTGAAGAGGTGAAGATGTCTACTTCATGGTGCCTTGTGAATATAGATGAAGATTTCCACGTGAGCAGAGATCTCCTCCTAGCAGCCTATGTAAGGTTCTGTCATTAAGCTCTTTGTTTTGAATTAATTCTTCCAGCCTTGGGAGGGATGCCCTGGGAAAAGGAGCACCAGTGGAAGCAGCCTAGAGAACCAGTGCAGAAGCCTCATGGGACCCATTAAGTGCCCCTTTGGTCTTTTCACTCTGTCCTAAAGAGACATGTCATTGTCCTTAGATAATACGATGCCTGATAGGAGCGCCACCACTGGGGCATTCACTGTTGGAACTTTTAACATTTCCATAGGCTGAACTGTGAGAAAACATTGTGCTATTTTGCCAGTTTAATGGCTCTGTTACTTTGACATGGACTGACCCATTTGGAATGAACCACTCCAAGATGAAAGGGGGACAGGTACCACCCTTGAGGCTGAACAAGATTTAGACTGAAGCCCCTCTAGAGGTGGTCCCCTCTGGAGGCTTCACCCTAAAAAAGTACTGCTTTCACCCTTTGGCACTGGTAGAGACTAGATTTATTTGGGAGTTTGGTGATGGGCTTTCTGGATACTTTCAAAACAGCAGTCGCTGGTGGGGAGGAGCTCCTTGAGCGCCATCAGCTTTCAGCAGTTGCTGAAAGGAGGGGCTCACTCAGCATTCTGGGTAAGAAGGAACAGGAGCATGGTGGAAATCCAAAGCAGGAGGCTTTCCAGTGCCGGATGCTAGCATCTTTTAATGACCTTCACAGGCTGAATTTTCTTCTTTGCAGCTTTTTCCTTGCCAGTAGGAATGAACGAGGGAACACGAAAAATAAGAGGACATGACAGAAGAAAGAAACTATTTCTCCTTCTCCCCCTCTTTTTTTGTAAACGATGGATCTATCAAACAACAAACTACGCTACTGAGCACTACTTGTCCATCTAATTTTAATTTTAAAACCACTGTTGTACTGATGCTAGTGCATCAAGGTAGTTTCAGGTTTCCTTTCAGGATAGCACTAAATCTTTGAAGAGAGAAGCCAATAGGGTTTTCAAAGCACCGAGTCTCCAACAGCAAATGAAAAAAATGATTGTAAAAATGACTATGATAGGCAGTGGCAGCAGTGGAAAAAAAGCAACAGAAAACTTGAAGATATTCTGCTGTGAGAACAGTTCTTATTGAGCAAGATTGTAAGTAGGATGGAGGAGGGAAACTCATTTAAAATAATAAATAATAATAATAATACCTGACCATAAAGCATATCATGGGCTCATTATGCTTGAAGACAGCAGGACTAAGGAGTTCCAGTCCCAATACTGTTTGATCAGCAACTCTGCTTTCAAACTGACCATGGCTATTTCCCTATAATGATGTGGAGATCATGACTTGCTCTTTATGAGTCATGGTCCCTAACATCTAACATAGCTAATCAAAGGTGGCAGGCATTTAACCATGTGTAATTTTATGAAGATTACCCAAGTAGCAAAGCAGACAACTTTTCAGCTTACCCTATTTAATTGTTATTTTAACAAAATAAACTAAACCATGATAAATACATACCTGGAGTTTTCTTGCTAACAAGGTGGACAAATTAAAGCTTATAAGTAATGATCCCACTATCATGGAATTAAAGAACTGTAGGAGGCAAACAAGCAGCAAACTAGCCACCTGTATTATGTAGATCCAGGTCACCTACAAACATAATGATAAGAAATTGTTCATGCCACAGCTTCATTTTTTTGAATTATCTAACTTGCACAATGCTCACACCAGTCCCGCCTGTAATGAAGAAAATGGCACCAGAAGACAGAGAGGGCAGAATACCCACCAAGAAAATTGAGCTTGCCTGCAGATCTTTGTGGGGTTGTTTGTTAAAAATTAAATAAAACAACCCAAAAAGCATGACATTGATTTACATTGTTGTTAAGTACTTTAAGATACACAGTTCTACTACTCCCATATCTCAACGCCAAGTTAAGATTTTTTTTTATGGCACTTTTAAAGTCAAGATTCTAGTATTCAGTTGAAAAATATGAAAAACAAGACATTCCATCCTAAACATCCATACATAACCAAGTTTACTTTGCATCAAGCACAGTATTATTTCATCAGAGTTCCTCATAATGAAGACAGACTTCCAAACTTTGCAATCACACACAGTGGCCGCAACACTGCATACAATCAAGCACACCTAAACGTGACTGTTTTCCATTATTTCAATGGCGGCACATTAAGCAATTAGCTTACCTTTCCTCTAGGAAGCAAGTCAAGACAGTCAAGTGTGAACAAAACCAGTGCCTGGATCAACAACATAAACTGATTAAACTGCCAAGCCAAGCTGAAGAGGAAGGTTGAAATAAATACTGCCAGAAGTGTCAGCCTCTGGAAAAACAAAAACATAAGCTAAATGAGATACATGAGGAAAGATCGTAGTGGAAAAAATGGAAAGTGATTACTGGCCATTTCAATGTATCAAACAGCTTTAAACAAAAACTATTCCCCAAAATCAGACTGTTACAAAATAAATAAAATACATCATCCATAAATAATTTCAAAATACCATGCATCTATTTACAATGGGATGTTGCAGCATTCTGACAAAAACAGAAACAGGAATGGAAATTGTTGGCGGTCACTTATTTGTCCCATGTCCAGAATAAAAATCAGTTCATTCAGTTGCTTTCAGTCTGCAAATGATATTACGTCCCCCTCCTTTACCCTAAATTACCTTTGCAGTGAAATGAATGGGTTGGAATAACATCATGACAACATAATTTCCATAGTTTATTTAATTAATTACGCAAATTATGTAATTTTGCCACAGAGCTAAATGAATGACATAGATTTGGGTGAAAGACAAACTGCAACGGGAAATAGTACTTCATGTGAAGAATACAGGGGCAGAATGGAAAATGACGCCTTCTTAGAACCCTACTCCAAAGTAGACATATCTCAAAGTACACTCTCTGGCTCTGAACCAACAGAGCACACATGCAACAATAAATCTATTTTTTAACAAAAAAAGATCACCACCACCATCATCATCCTAGTGAAAAAGGGGAGTGGGAGGATAGTATCCAAACCTCCTTTTTCTCCAGAATAACATATCCAACAAGGCTGCTGCTTTTTTTATAAGGTCTCTATGCCTACAGCATCAGGAGGCATTTTCACATGCAATTCCCCGCGCAACTAAGGATACAACATAGAAGCCTGTTTCTGTGAGTAATGTGGCTCTGAACTGGCTATTTTAGAAACATTTATCACTACATTTTAAAGAGAAAACTTTTTTGTGCTTTTAAAAAAGGCTCACTTCATGAGTGGGTCGCAAATGAGATCTGAAGAGGAATGTAATTGCTGCTATCTGAACAGCAAAGAATGGCAGTGCCCAGTTCTCTCTTAACGGAATGGTGAATTCCACCCGGGTGGTATCTGTTCTGCAGAAAACAAAGCAAAAGGTTCATATAAGCAACAACGGGCAAGTCCTCTACAAAGATGCAAATCTCAACATTGAAAATGGACATCGACTATTACTTCACTAATTTCAAATATGGCAGAAAGCATTCGGGCTAATTCAGTTAATGCATTACAAGTAAACTGATAAAATCTTATTTCATTCAGAGGGGGACCCTGTTAACATGATGTGTTGTTATAGATCACCTAAATCTAGAACAGCAATGTGCAAATGCCAAAGACTTGTAAAATTAAAAAAAGAAAAAAGAATTATTGGCACACGCTGTTTAGTCAAGGAAATACAGCCAGCTTCATTGAGCATCTTCGAAGTATGTTCTGCAGTGAAATATTGCAGCAATTATTTTTATTAATATATTAAAAACCAGTTAATTGACAGCTTATTGACTGTGTCATGTTGTGCTCCATACACTGTCTAGACACTAATGGCACAAAATAAATGTTTAGCAGCACTAAAGCACCTATAAGTGGCCGACAGCCCAGTTTTCAACATTTCTACACAAAAGGAAGTTTTTCCCCTTAGGGTTATTCTAAACTAGAACAGGCTCTTTTTTATACAGAGCCTCCAGAGCTTCAAATCCTTTCTGTACTATGTTTTGGCTACCTACCTCATTCTATTCCCATGTATTCTCCCTCCCTCATATCTTTTCTAAATTATGTGTCCCATTCTGAGGCTCACATACACAGGAAAGTCTTGAGCTAAAACCAACATGCCTTTGCTAGTGCAACACTTATCTGCCCAGAAAAAACTAGCAGCTGCGTTGCTCGGGAATTCTAAACAAAAAAGAAAAAAATCTGTTTTGAAAGGCTTAGTCTACTATCTTGATTCAAAATAGAGTCCATCGAAGCACAGAAAAAAAACCCTGCTCCTTGATCTCAGGAACCATCATGTGAAACTTGGTTATGATGTCCTAAGAGGTGTCTAAATGCACAGCGAGAAGGCAAACCACTTTCCAAAATATATAGCAATCTAACTTGAAGAAATGAATATATTCTTTTCTATAGCATGGCAAATATTGGATTATTTCAGAGGAGGATTTGCAGAAGTATCCTCACCTGTTTGTGATATACCAGAAGGCTGCTAATACACCTGAAAGCCAAGTTCCACTGAGAAGCCAGCTGGTCACATACAGAGCAGCAACATAGACTGCCTGAAGGCTAAACAATGTGTAGATGTAAAAATAAACAGGTTCAAAAAAATTCTGTGAAGGAAGAACACAGGAAACCATTAAACAAATAGTACTTGACTTAGCATGAAACCAACAATTCCGATCATAAGAATGTTTGTAAAATGAGATTGCAATCTTATGCATACTTAGAAGAAGAAGAAGAGGAAGAGAAGTTTGGATTTGATATCCCGCTTTATCACTACCCGAAGGAGTCTCAAAGCGGCTAACATTCTCCTTTCCCTTCCTCCCCCACAACAAACACTCTGTGAGGTGAGTGGGGCTGAGAGACTTCAAAGAAGTGTGACTAGCCCAAGGTCATCCAGCAGCTGCATGTGGAGGAGCGGAGACGTGAACCCGGTTCACCAGATTACAAGTCTACCGTTCTTAACCACTACACCACACTGGCTCTCAGGAAGTAGGTACCATTGAAATATAGGACCTATATAGGATTCTACTATAGAGCTTCTTTGCACAACACAGTTTAACTTTAGGGTGGTAGCCAATGCAATCCTGCTCAGAGAAGATCCATTGAATGTGTCTAAATTGGGTTTATTAATATGAATGGGCCTGTTCTGACTAGGACTAGTCATGATGGCATCCATTTCTGTCAGGGTCATAGGCAGTATGCCTTTGAATACCAGTTGCTCAGGATCATGAGTGGGAGAGAGCTGCTGTGATCATGATCAGCTTGCTGGTTTTCTACAGGAATCTGTTTGGCACAGTGAGAACAAGGTGCTTTGGCCTGCCCCAGCAGGGCTTTTCTTAGGTCCTTACACACAATTCCTAGAGTAAATCGCATTAAACTTAATGGGACTTAATGCTGGGTAAAGACGAATTTCCACAAAACTTGTCACTGTACTGACTTGGGCAAGATGCTTGTGCATTTATCAGGGACTTATAATTAAACACTCACATTCATATGAAAAACCCTATACAGAATGCTGAGAAAGACTTCTTGGTAAACATTCATTCTTTCAAGTATGTTAATTGTCCTCATGGACTCAGTTTTATTGTCAGACATCAAGCGATGTAAACCTGTAGAAAGAAGAAAATAAAATGAAGGCACACCTGCATTTAAAAGCCATTAAAATGTAAACGTCTTCTGCAAGAGAATTTAAAGTTAGAAACTAGAATGCTACTCATTAAATATGCTCTGCTACTGTTAAAGTCATTTGGCTTCTTACAAGGAACTAGATCTGGTTGGTGGGTGATACCAGTCAAAATGCACATGCTTTGAGAAAGTCTAAGGAAAGTAAGTCAATTTGCATCACTTATTTTTGAGTTAGAATACCCCCTCTTTAGGAGCCACATATGACAGTGTATCCCAAGAAGTAGGTTCTACTGTGTTCAATGGAGCTTACCACTTAAGTGTGTCCAGGAGTAGATTCATGGAAAGTAATCTAATAAATAGTGCTGCTTTTATTGCAAATGGAGTGCTCTGGGGCTCTGAGTCTACTTTTTAGAAATCAGTATCATCTGAACCATATAGTTTAAGATGAAAGTAATGCTTCCATTGATATAGGTAATACCTAAAATTCTATGCTATCTAGCAACAATAGGCACCTCCAGGTATGACAAGCACTTCTGCCACTAACAATTGGTTTGTGTTCCTGGGATTTATATAAAAAGCCACCGACAAACAGAAGATGGAAGTTGATAATCCAGCATTCTCTTTAAAAACACAGAAGAGTAGTGCTTCTGAGAGCCATTTGTACTTTATCCAGTTCAGAAAATAAAAGTTACAATACCTAGTTGAATGGATGGAGCTTGTAGCATCTGCTTGTAATAAGAGTAATACAGGCCACATTCTGTCCTGAATGAAATCTCCCGCTCTACCTCCTGGAAGGAAACATGCCAGTTAAGATCAAGAATAAACTTAACCTGATGCTTGTCTTACTATCGTTTGCCTCTGACCTGTTTAATAAAATTAGTGTAACATAGTTAAGATCAGCAACAATAGCAGTTTATGAGATAGAAGAAAACTGCTCTCTAATCCTCACCTCATTCCTCAGTGCAACAATACCATGCAATAGATCACTATCCTTCCTACGTTAACCAAAAGGGAAGTGAGGTTGGGATTAGTCAAGGACATTTTGATGAGTTGGTGGCACACCAGAGATTTAAGTCCAGAGATCTCCAAGGTCCAAATCTACCAGAAAACTATGGCTCTAGTCCAAAAAGTAAACTAATAAAGACATGAAAGGCAGCTGAAACCTCCATTTCATTTTGGATAGCCAAAGTATCGGCAAAAATCACAAGGAAAAACTGAAGTAACATGATTTCCTAGATATTACTTATGTGTATCAGCCTAGGTCAGCTGCCAAGGATTTTTTACCAACAGACTTACTGTGAGCAGATGTGTTCTTAGAACTGTCACTGGTCAATTTAAAACTCCCAGGTTTTTTTTTAAAAAACCCAAATCTAGGAAGAAATACAGGCCTGAAACTTTGTAAAAACTGTCTTCAATGCACTTATACTTTTTTGCAGCTAGCAACTGTCTCAATCACAGTTTTTGTCTTTCCACTTTCTAGCTAAACTGTTTTTATTCCAGCAAGCATTTGTTATCCTAGTCTGAGGGGCTTTTATGGACTGCTACCCCTTGTTTTTAAGCACTTTTTACCTGTTTCTATTTTAATGTTTTTACTGTTAAATTATAGTGTTGGCTTCTATGCCTCATTCTGCAGCTTCAAAACTTTGTTCTTAGTCAACCCAATCACTGTTACTGCACTAAAAGGCTGGAATGAAATGGTCTTAACCGTGGGTAGGCAAACTAAGGCCCAAGGGCCGGATCCAGCCCAACTGCCTTCTAAATCCGGCCCACGGACGGTAAAGGAATCAGTGTGTTTTTACATGAGTAGAATGTGTCCTTTTATTTAAAATGCATCACTGGGTTATTTGGGGGGCATAGGAATTCGTTCATTCCTCCCCCCACCAAAAAAATATAGTCTGGTTCCCCTCCAGATCTGAGGGACAGTGGATTGGCCCCCTGCTGAAAAAGTTTGCTGACCCCTGGTCTTAACTTACTATTAAAGCACAGTCATATTCTTATTATCCAAAACAATATTAATCCCAAGACAAACCAATGGAGAAAGAGAAAATGACAGGTGGTTCACACTGCAACCCATTTAAACGTTACTTACCTTGTTTTTATTTAACAGAATGTGTATGCCCCTTAATTTTAATTAAAACCCCGAAGAAGTTTACAGAGATATAAGGCATACATTAAAATTATCAATAAAAGTCAAAAACATTTTTTTAAAAAAAATCAGAATATAAATAAAATCAACACTTATGAACTAAAATGACAGATTAAATACACGTCAACTTTACATGACTGGGTATGCTATGTAGTGTGCTGAAAGATGTGGGTAACAGTGGGTGTTCACTAAATTACCTGAAATACTGAAAGTTGCAACCTCTGTTTAATCAGTTCACAATGACAGAGTAATATGACTCAAGTTCCTATGGTAGTCCCACAACTACAGAAAGTATTAAAACTTGAAAGCTCTGAAACATTTTGGAATTGATTCTGGAGGGCTGGGCACTGAAAGGGATCTAATTAGCAAGACTGTATCAAACGTGATTAATCTTTAAGCCTGGCACCAGCTGTATTCAACCAAATGCCATACTTTACGAGGTAAACACTACTGCTTTACATCTGTTTCATACGAAGATAACATCTGCTTTCCTCATTCACAACACATTTCCAATTTTAGAGCGATTCATACTCTTCCTAGAGTCTCAGATGTCAATAAAAGTGGCAAAAGCTATGGGCTGAAATTTCAAGGCTAATATTTAGATAATACTACTATACACATTCTATATATATGTAATTTGTGTTTATGAAGTCTTGACTCTATGAACCCCATGATGCTTTGCTGAAACTCCTGATGCTTATATAGCAATTAAAAGTGAATTCTGCATTATTCTAGAGATATCCGATCAGCTGCAAGTACAAAAATATTTGCAGTCATGCCCTGCTCCATTATTATGATTCCCTTCAGGAATTACGGAAGAAAAGGAGGTAAACTACAAAATGCCTACTGAATATTTTATTATCATCTATGGTGGTGACAAGCCAATCCCTTTTATCAATAGGAATATACTATCTGTGGTGTTATGTCTGTGTGATGGATGTTTTGCACATGAATTATGTTGATTGCTATTGCACTCATCAAGTAAAGAAGCTGCATGCACAAACCAGCCCCTGAAGTTCCCTCATGCATATGTTTCTATCTCAGCAAAGACTGAGAAACAGAACTCATCTGTATGAAATGAAATTGGTGGCCTGAGGAGGGAAACAGGAAATACCCTGCACTCCAGGGTCGGAAATGGAAAATTTGTAGAAACATTGGTGGTGGGGGAATCTTATGAAATACTTCTTTCAGGAGTATGACTGAAACAATTTGTGGGACTGTGAAAATATGTTATGTGTGCTTAACCTACCTTTTACCTCTAAACTAGCTCTCAGGGTCAGGAAAATAGTGGTAGTGGGGGTAGGATGGAGGAGATAGCCACTAACCATGGTTTGAGTGTGTGTGTGTGTGTGTGTAGAGTGGGGTGGGGGGTTAAACTTCCCCTTCCCACACTGTACTGGAGAGTTGGGAGCTGTGGGTGCAGCAAGGTTTGCAACCAAGCCTAAACTTGAATGCTGCAGGACTATGTGTAAGAGGGGGGAGGTTTCAAGGCATAGCTGCAAAAGCAGCATATACTGGCACTCTGGTGAAGTGGAGCAGACCAGCAGAGGAGGGGGGAGTATATTGTCCCTCCATCCAGCCCCTCCAAAAGGCTCTTTTGACTTTTCTCTTCTACCCTCAGGGCAGGCAGTTCTTAAGTAGGAGAAGTCCAAGACATTTTACTGTCTGGAGTGAAGGACTGATGCCCCCTTCCACACTAGGACCAATACTTTAAAACATTTTGCTGCATCATTCAGACACCAGTTCCTGCCTTCATCTCCCACTGCCACCATCATGGTGCTACATGGCAGGGCAGACCTATGAACCCTGTGGAGGGGAGGCCCAGCTCAGCTGAAATCTCCAAAAGGTGGACTTAAAATATTTCACCCAACGTTTTCTCTCCTCTCTTTTCTTCCCTTTCTTCCCCTTCTGCAGTGGTCTCACTTTCACTGCCGTTGGAGATTTTAGTTGTTTCTAATGCTTTGTTGCTACACGAAAGCTTTGTATAGACCTTGTCAGGATAATATGAGGGGCTCTTGTCCTTTGTATCTTTTTATTCTTTTACAATATTCTCCAACTAGGGATTCACCTTTTTCAAAAGGCCGGAGAACTGGCAAGGAGCTAAACATCTCCCATTATTGTGCACTCTTCTCCCTCTGTAAACACAACTCAATCTCACATCAGCACAAACATGTTATTCCTGCATTGCAGGGGGTTGAACCAGATGACCCTTTGGGTCCCTTCCAACTCTACAATTCTTTGGTTCTATGTGGAAGATAAGGATGATCAGTTGCAAGGTATTTTGAACAGAGTCATGTAAAAATATCTTTCCAAAATTAATATTCTATTTATGTTCAACACATTCACATCTATAAAAGGTTCTGGTTTTTCAGTGATCTTTGGAGCCCAAAAGCCTTGTGGGTGACTGTCTGGAATTCAGGCACATGAGAGAATCTTGGAAAAGCAATGGCTTTCCAATCAGAGAACAAGGCTAACAACTGAATCTTGTGCTGCAACAAAATGCCTCTGGGGTCCCACATCAGTGAAGAGTTTGGGAACTAGATCAAACAAAGCTTGATACTGTCTTTCAAAAGAACCCAATGTAATACACTCAAGAAAGTACCATTTCAGCTTTCTTTGTTTGCTTGCTTAATAAAAACCAAAACTGCACCAGAAAAAGAAATAAAAGAATATTGCTTTTAAAAATAAAATCCAATTAATTACGTAGCAAATCTTCTTAAGCATAAAAGTGAAAGCTCAATACAGATAACTGCATTAACGTGACCAAGGTTGCACAGCATGCCGTCAACAAACACAGTTAATACACACAGAACTCTTGGCTGGTTAACCTCAAGCCCATTTGCTCTGATTGGAGTGTTTATTCAGCTTTGATGAATGAAGAAAGCAACGGATTTATATACAACAGCTAGCCATGTACTGAAATTAGACTTTGCTGGAATAGAAATAATGAATTCTATTGCTGGAAAGCTGAATCATGGCATGGGAAATTGGGTTCAACTCTCAGCTTGACTATACTAAATCATTATTTCTGTGCCTCAGTTTCCTATCCAGGACTTTGGGAACAGGACCTAAATGAATTGCACACATTTTTTTTGCCCAAGACTCAAAGAAATTCACATTTAGATGTTATAGACTTGCAAGACCCAGAAGAAGCAAAAGGTGTGTTCCTAATAAACCCTCTATCCTGTATAAATCATTTATTTTCTCTTCATGGAAAAAAATCTGTGTTGATAGCACCAAGTTATTGACTGAAATTTTCATTCTTCTCTTGGCAGATTTTCTATCACATCCAGCCCTGATTTATTTTGCAGGGGCTGACAATAAATTGCAATTGAGTTTTTCCTAATAGAGTCAAAGATAAAATAGGTGCTATTAATATGACATCATTAGATGAAACTACTTTAATGTACCACATGATGAATTCTGCTACTGCAGTATATGATACTAACCTGCTGTAGTCAGAATGGAAAATCTACTGGAAACTTGCTTAAGAACCTTGCTTAAGCCCAAGTCACATCTAACACGGTGGCACAATTTTAATATATGGTATAGTGAAATAGTCCATTCCAGTTTCTGTTTTACTGGTGGTATTTCATGGGAACCCACGAAAAATAAAAACTTCTGAAGTGGCCCTTCTCTGAAGGGAAATTAAAGCTTTAACCTTCCTCCCTCAATAATGTAAGATCCAATTAAAAAGAACAGTGTATATACAGTTCATGGTTCAACCACCATTCAGTCTGAGCAATCCAGGATGCTTTATTATAAACAAATAAAAAACACATCAACATAGCTGCTACTTTCAGCTTGTTATCTGCTTTCTACTACCTCAGTATGTCCTCAAGACACACCTGATAAGAACAGTGGTTGATGTGGGAGAGAGTAAAATTATCAACAATGTAGAAAAAGGCAATGCTATGGTAGCTGTGGATAGCTCGGCAGAAAAAAGTCTGAAAAGCCGCAATGTGAACAATGCCTTAGGAAACCAATCATGCAATCAGAGTCATTCTGTTACCTTGATGTTGGAGAACCACAGATCATTTTCATGTAGTGTAGCAACATAAACAGAAGTGAAGATTCCCAGAGTTATGCCAACGATTCCACCAACGATGAGTGAAAGTTTCTTCCACAATTTTCCACCTGCAGAAGATAGTTCTAATAAATATTTATCTTTAAAAAACAAAAACAACTCCTCCAATATGTTTGAAATGGATGGTAGTATCCACTCCAGATGTTGGCTACAGTTTATGTATCATAAACAGAGAACAGATTTCCAAAAAGAAAACTGAGGGAAAACTGATTTCTCTTGGATTGTTCTGGCACTGGAAAATACATGTAAAATGTATTCATTTGATTTATACCCTATCTTTCAAAAGAAACATCCACCCAAGGTGGTACACAAAAGAATATAAAACAACAAAATCTACACTAAAATGCACTAAATTGACCCAGCTGGTTCTTAAAAGGGTTGTATCAAAAGATGCAGAAAAAGGGGGTATTTTGCACAAAGAAGGCATTGTGCTAGGGCACTCTGTGAGACAAGTGAGCTAAATCCCAAGATGTTCTTCTCACTTGTGCAAACTCTTATACAGGCAGAAATGTATTGAACCTATCTATTATAATGCTGTTAAAAAGAACCAAGGGTTGTTTTATATTCAATCCTTTTACTCAATGAGTAAATCCCACTGAAATTAGCAAACCTAAGTGAAGTCACGTTAATTCCATTCTTTCTACTCAGAACAACCTTAGTGCTGTACAGGGTGAATAAACTCCATTCTCTGCTATATTAATCAAAATTACACTAGTTTTTCATGGTAGCTCAAATGGGCAACAGCCAGTTATGTTGCTATGGCAGAAAATATTGCAGTCCTAATTCAGAATGGAGGTGGAAAGTGAAAGGAAAACAGCAGGGAGGAGAAAGTTATTTTTTATTTAATAATTTAAACAGGTAGAGTAAGGGGGGGGGAACTATTTGTGGGAAATTACAACTGAAATAAGACAGTTGAGACAAAACATCTGTGGGTGAATTGAGAAAAGGCTCTGGTTGTGGATGGGGGTGAAAGGGAATGAATTGGGGATGCTAAGTCACACAACCCTGAAATCTTCTAAGCAGATAGACAGAGAAAACTCCATACTTTGATATCTCCTTCATAATGGGCATTAAGTGCAAACGGTTATTACTGGCCTCTGCTGGAAATATAGAAGCAGCTATCTATGCAATTTTTTCTATCCTTCTCTTCCACTTTAAATCTAGGGCATATGCATATTTCTTCTGTAACGAGTGGGCAATATTTTTCGGAGGGCCATATTCCCTCACAGGCAACCTGGATGGGGCTAGTGTAAAAAAGTCACATCCGTTGCATTTGTAAAGTAGGCTGCATTCCAGCCACACACGTTGGGATTTCCACACACACACACACACACACTCCAGGCAGGCAAAGCCAACTGAGGACACAGTGGGGTATTGGCAAGCCCTAGATAGATAAAGCATTTTGCTCCTGGGCCTTATTGGGAATCTGCGATGAGATACACATGCAGTGGACTTTGCCCCCAGTTCCAGTCACAACATAGAGGGCAGCTTAAGGTCCAAAATAGTTTACTGTAGCAGTCGGTAGAGCATGAGACTCTTACTCTCAGGGTTGTGGGTTGCAGTCCCATGTTGGGGGGGGGGGAATTCTGCATTGCAGGGGGTTGGACCCTTGTGGTCCCTTCCAACTCTACAATTCTATGATTCTAACTCTTCAGAAAGCATTTGTGGAGCAGTGCTAATAGCTACTTCCCTTCCATTCACAGGTTCTCTAGATCGAAGTAATTCCCTTTTAAGTGATGTTAATCTGAAGGACAGGAACACTGAAAGGGGCAGAGCTAACTATTTTCTCTCAAGCTTGCTACGTCTTCTGCAAAGAACAGTTAATTGCTCTTGTACTCATTATGAAAGCTCTGATCTGCTTTGTGTTATGCCCCTTCCTCGATAATAGAGTTCAGTAAAAAGCTTATAAGCTCAAAATAGTCTTGATAATCATCACCTCTCATTCTGAAATTATTTGAAATATCCTTTGTGGCATGCCTTCTAATAAATTACAAGCAGGGTGACTTTATTAATCACACCAAAATCTTGTTTTAACTTTAAAGCTTGGGTTATCTAAATTGTGCCTTCTTCTCTAAATGTGCACTTATCAAAGCAGTCCCTGATAATGGTGCACGATTACAGGTGATTTACCTGCTGACAACAAAGCAGCAAAACCACAGACAATGTGATGCCAAGGGAAAATACAGCCCATAACTACATTTAGAGTTATTCCTCCACGTAGACTATATTGGTTTCAAATCAATTCCTCTTCTCAGATTTCCCAATTAATCATGTTATTTGAAACAAAGACCAACCTTCTCTAGTTTTGATATATGGGCAGCACAATACCAAACTCTAGAAAACCCATCAAACTCAGTGGAACTAAAAATACTAGAACTGTGACTGACTTATTAGCAGATTAATGAACGTACCCAACAGAAAACCATTAATTTCTAGTGGCCTACTGAGTAGAAATTATATTTTATGTGCTACCTAGTTAGGGTTTGTGATAAGCTACTTGAACTTTATTTGCAAATAAAAAAATATTTGCATGAAATATTTTGTAGGCAAAAAGTAAGAAATCAAAACATAGCTCCCTAAATATAACTGCATCCTGGAAATACATGAAGTCAAAGATAGCTTTAAATGCCAGTAGAGAATGAATTTGGGTGAATCCTAATAATGGCTAAACTCAGCCATGTAATTCAATTGGAATAATAACCATTCTTGGTTTTCCCATTTTTATTTCTACTTACACATGAAGTTATAGCTTAAGTACATTAAACAAGGATAACCGTGACCTACCAGCTAGAGTTTTCCCATTAAGTTTCCAGTTCTTCTCGTGGAATACACTCTCTTCTGGAACTTCTGTGGCTTTTATTCCCTTTCTCTGTCTAACAGCTGTCATGATGTCAGTAATATTCACACATTATACTTTGCGCTGGTTCCTAAATATACATACATAAAGTAATATGGAAGCAATTAAACATTTAACACTCTATCATTACTAACACCCTTAAAATGTATGCAAAAATATATGGCTATATATTTCACAGATAGCAGGAAATCATCACTTAAATTACCGTCTTGCTATTTTTGCAAAATATCCAAGAATAAATAATCATATTGTTTCAACTTGTCAAAAATAAATTAGCAAAATAAATATTTTATTATCAAATGCACAGAACCATTTGAGATAACTTGCAGATAACAGTGCAAAGGACACAGAGTAAAACATAGCTCATTTAATTTATTCCCCATTGGAATAGTTTAAGAGTATCATTCAAAAGTATGAATGCTTGCAAATTTCCTAATATTTTAGGGGGCTCTTGATGTGCCTGTCTCTGTAGCAGATAGAAATATTTGTAAGGCATTTTTTAAGCTCATGAAAATGCAAGTGGTACAGTTTGCAACCTCCATGTGAGAAGCTCCAATGTAAATCAGATGAGCACAAGGAGTCCCATCTCCCCTCAGACTGAACTTGGGTCCATCATTTTCTCTCAGCCTAATTTAACTTACAGGGTTGTTGTTGGGCCGCCAGACTGTTGAAGTAGAAGAACCACGTTTGCTACCCTGAGCTCCATGGAGGGAGAGTGGTTATTAGTGGAATAAAAACTTGATATAAGGAGATATATGTTCCATCTCTCCACAGTAAAAATAGTATGCAGGGCACCACAGATTTACTGTGGCAGAAACTTTAATGGACTGGAGTCTACTTCATTTGACACAACAAAGCTACAATCCTAGTCATCAGGGGCAGGAAACATTTGGCCCTCCAGATGATACTGAACTACATCTCCTATCAACCACAGCCTACATCTTAATAGTCAAGGCTGATGGGAGCTGTAATCCAAAAAGGCGAAGGTTCATCCTGGAGAGGCAAAGGTTCATCAGCCCTGCTATACATGCTTACCTGGGAGTAAATCCCATTGAGTTGTGGGGTGGGTCAGTGGTGGAGCATGCAGAAGATCCCTGGTTCAATTTGCGTCATCTCCAGGTACAGCCAAGAGAGACTCTTGTCTGAAATCCTGGAGAGCCACTGCCAGTCAGTGTACACAATACTGAACTAGATGGACCAACATTATGACTCAGGGTAAGGCAGAATGTCTTTTCTAGTTTTGCCAGAAAGGAAACACACACACACACACTGAATAAATGTGGGTTTGTTAGCCTGGGTGATCAAATAAACATGACCACCAGACCAAGTCGTGGGGAAAGGAGTGTGTGGAAATACGGCTATTATCGAATTTTCAAAAAAATAGGTCAACTCCAAAATTCATTACATGAATTATACACGCAATGTACAGGAACAAGTCCTGTTGAACTCAATGTGACCTGCATGCGAAGCAGATGCTCTTCCATTGACCCCAAAGACATACAGTGGTGCCTCAGATTACAAACGCTTCAGGTTACAAACTCCGCTAAGCTGGAAGTAGTACCTAGGGTTGAGAACTTTGTCCCAGGATGAGAACAAAAATCATGCGCCGACAGCGCGGTGGTAGCAGGAGGCCCCATTAGTGAAAGTGCGCCTCAGGTTAAGAACAGTTTCGGGTTAAGAACAGACCTCCGGAACGAATTAAGTATGTAACCCGAGGTACCACTGTATAGGAACATAGGAAACCGTTTTATGCAGAGTCAGACCAATGCACCATCTACCTCTATGCGGTCTACACTGACTAGCAGCAGCTCCCCGGGGGTTTCAGACAGCGTATCTCTCCCAGGCTTACCTGGAGATGCCACAGGTTGAAGCTGGGACCTTAGGAACATCGGAAACTGCCTTATACAGAGCAAGATCAATGACCCATCTGCTTCAGTGCTATCTACCCTGGCTGGCAGCATCTCTCCAGGATTCTGGGGAGGAACTGAACCTGGGCCTTTCTGTATGCCAAGAAGATGCTTCTCCCCTGAGCTGGGGTGGTGGGACCCCATACCCACCCCCCTCTTGCAAACCAATATCGCCATGCACAGACAGACAGGTGGCATGCTGAAAAGTGTCGGCAGTGCATTATTTTCCCCAAACCCAAACCCTCCATAAAAACAGGCACACGTGTCTGTTTTGTCTGTCTGGGGAGCCTCCATCTCTTGTTCCTATTTATTTCGATACCAGTCTCTCCCCCCCCCCCCCATTGGCAGGGGCTCCAGGCGGATTGCAGATAAAACAGAAAGAGCTCAAAGCATAGAGGCGGGGGAGAGAAGGAGGAAAACCGTTTTTAAAAACACAATTAAACACCGACAGAATTAGAACAATGTATATATAGGCGTCATTCCTCTTCTTTCCCGTCCCCCCGCCTTGGGAGGGGCTGAGATTTGTGCCAAGAAACGGCGTCCTTCGGAGAAAGGCGGGGAAGCGGGGAAGGAGGGAGAAGCCTCCGCAGGGTGCGCTGGGTGGGTCAGGCGAGGCACCCACGAGGGGCTGGGGAAGGGGGGCGTTGCGGGGCGGCCTAGGCCTCCTCCTCCTCGTCCCCTCAGCCGCCAGCACGGCCTCGTCCTTTTTTATTTTTTGGCCTCGCTCTCCGGGGCCAAGCGTCTCCCCGCCAGCCCTGAGGGGACCCCTTTCCCCCATCCCCACCCGAAGCCCCTTACCTACTTGGGGGGGCGGGCAGGCATGCGGTGACGGCCCCGGTGTGTCACGGAGGGAGGAATGGAACCGCCGCCGCCTCAGCCTCCCTCAGGGACGAAGGCGGGAGAGGGAAAGGGAGGCGGGAGGCGATGGCGGAGTGAGGCGCCTCCCGCTTGTGAGGGGGGGGAAAGAGGGCTCTTTGAGGAGGGGAGGTGTGTGGGCACGAAAGAGGAGGATGGGGAGTTTGTGGGGGGGGGGAGTTTCCCGACGCCCCCACCTCTTGATTTGTATTTAAAACTCCCATTTTCCTCCGAGGAGCTCAAGGTGGCGAACACACACTCCCCCCCCCTTGATTTGATCTTCACAACAACCCTGTGAGGTAGGTTGGGCGGAGAGGGGCTGTGAGGCCATAAAGGGCACGTGTGTCGTTCAGCTCAGTTGGTAGAGCACCTGCTTTGCATGCAGAAGGTCCCGGGTTCAGTGCCCCCTGGCATTTCCAGATAAGGGGGGGGGGGCTGGGAAAGAGACCCCCCCAGCCTGAAACCTTGAAGAGCTGTTGCCTGTCAGTGTAGACAGCACTGAGCTAGGTGGACCATTGGTCGGACTCTGTATAAGGGAGCTTCCTGTGTTCCTGTATGTCTTTGGAGAAAGGCCATAGCTCAGGTGGTAGAGCATCTGCTTTGCATGCAGAAGGTGCCAAGTGCAATCTCTGGCATCTCCAGGTAGGGCTGGGGAGAGAGATCCCCTTCTGAAACCCTGGAGAGCTGCTGCCCGTCAGGAAACTCAGTCTACACTATGTCCCCTAAAGGGCTGTAGCTCAGTGGTTGAGATTTGCATGTAGAAGATCCCAGGTTCAATCCCCAAAGGTATCTCCAGGTAGGGCTGGAGAAGACCCTCCTTCTGAAATTCAGAGTGGGATGATGGGAGTTTCAGCCTAACAACATCTGGAGGGCACCACACGTGCTACCTCTGCACCAAGATGGAAGCTAAAGGAATTTCTGGTTCCACTGGATCATTTTGGAGACACTTTCAATTGTTGCAGCTCAGTCCTATGCAGCTCAGAGTAACCAAATGAAACTTTTAACACATGACATGATAAAAGTCTGTAATTTTATCAGGACAAGTTACTTGTTGTTTACTGTTGTAGCAATTGTTTTCTCAAAATTTATCTTCAGTACCATGAAAATAAAAACAGTATTAAAAAAAGGAAAGAAAAGTCTGCAGGAATAAACAGGTTATTTTTCTCCCACTTTCATTTCAGAGGACTCCTTTCCCACTTTGATTAAATCTATCAGTTCATCCTTTGCTGATCCAGTGCAGTCTCCACTGCCATCATTCTCATATCCTGTTAGACTAAGGTTACCAGATTTTTTTCAATGAATCCTGGGACACTTTTCAACTTCCTACTAAATAGATGGATTTTGTCAGGGGACCAATTTGTAAATCCGGGGACTGTCCCCGGTAAATGGGGACGTCTGGTAACCTTATGTCAGACCACTAGGATGTACTGGCATTCCCCCCCAGTTTTTAATAATCAAAACTATGTTGCTAGATGCCAGCTCCTTAGCTACCACCGCCACCACCTGTAATTTTTGAGGTCTAGTAATAAGAGGGGGATAACCATATAAGCCACCTTGAGCTTTATGGAGAAAAATGTGGAATATAAATGCAGTAAATGAATACATATTAAAGGCCTTCCATCCCCCCCACATCTCCATTTGTCTCAAGGGCTCCAGTAGGCAGTATACTGGAGGACAAACAGCTGTTTTCTTCATGCCCCCATTTTATTTCCTAGGGCTGTGGTTCCCAAACTTTTTCTGCCATGGACCACTTGAAAACTGCTGAGGGCTTCGTGTAGCACTTAATGTTTCTGCCTCTTGTAGCAACTGTAATGCACTGTGCTAGACACTATGATTTTTACTTTTATTTTTATTGCTTCTTTTAATTCCTATATATTGTTGGTTTATTGTATTACAATTTGGATTCTATAGAATTTAGATTTCAGTACAATAAAATGAAGTGTAAGGAATAAAATAATAAAAATTAAGTATCACTATGAACATTTAATGCAATGGATGTGCTGTCTCCCATCTTCAACCACAAAGCCACATACACACCACAGGCCACCTGAATGGACCAGTTTGGGAACACCTGGCAAAACAAAAATATTGAATGAAAACCAAGTGTTGTATGAGATAGGTCTTTGGTCTGATCCAGCAGGGCAGTTCTTAAAGGAGAGAAATGAGCCACACCCATCTAGCAAAGTTCCTTGCACCTAATACTCTGCTTGGGCAAGTATGATTCATGAAAATGTTCAAACCTTAGTGACTCGGTATTGTGACACTACTAGAGCAGAATTAGGCCCACGAATATAGTGCAGAACTTCATTGCTAGATATGCTTTAACATTTATTTATATTCTTTACTTACTGGTTTTCTAATACTCTTTCTTCAGGGATTAAGTTGGTGGCTACCAGAGGATTATCTCAAAGAGGCTTCCTGGCTCTGGAATTTGCTCTCCAAGGAGATTAGACCAGCTCTGTCATGAATAGCTTTGGGATGCCAAGCCAAACTTGTTCCATTCACTCAAGTTCTGTTTTTTTTAATAGTAATTCACTTCAACCATATTTGATGATTTTTAACTGCTTGTTTTTGTTTGTAGTGATTTTAATTGAAATTATAAGCCACCTTGAAGATAGGATATACTTTTTTTCAAATTAAATAGAATTGCATCACATGTTTCTGCTGAATGTTCAATTTGTGAGAGCTTGTGGCATAAAACACGGAAATGGTGATCAGAAGATCCGTCTCCCTTTGTGTTCTTACTCTCCGTGACCAATCAAGTTTGTCTCAGGAGGCTGCCTTACACAAGAAAGTCCCAAATAAATGGTAAGGTATGCACAGACAATAGTAATGTGTTTTTACAGATATTGCAAAGCTCTGACACATGTAGTAATTGAGAATTTTAAAAAGTTAGCTGAAGAATCCCCTAACATGACAACTATAATTCAGTTCATAGTCAACTTTTACATGCCTATCATACATGAGAGCAAAATGCTAAATTAGGCTCACTAGAAAAACAGGAAACATATCCCTTTCTCAGTTTACGACTCACAGCTGAGCACAACTCATTGAACAGAGAGCATCCTCAGTAAGCCCCTTGCCCTCCCTTTGTTGTCCCAGGCAGGCAACACAAACAGGTGGTTTAATTAAGCCTCAAAGGCATCACCATCCATGGTCAGTATATGGCTTGGGAGGAATGCAGGTAATACAAAACAGCATTTATATAGCACTTTGGTGTTCAAGAGTCTCGATATATATTATCACAGCCATTCTTTAGAACCACCTGCTAAAGTAGGTCACCCCATACTGGGGGCGGGGTGGGGGCTTAGGGTAACCTAGATAAGCGATTCAGGAAACTTAGGGAGTTCATGCACTGTTTTGAATTGTAGATTCACTGATTCATAGCTCAGGTATTTATTCCATACTCTACACTGGCTCTTTTAGCATGTTTAGGTATATGTGTTCATTTTTAAACAAAGAGAAAGGCTATATTTACAAGCTAACTTTCTTGTGTTCAGTAAAGCATATGCAATCGAGAGCACAATATTGATGTGTTTAACAAAGGAGTTTATTACCAAAATACAATTAGTCAATACATGACAAAACTTCTGTAAAGCAAAATAAATTATTCTAACAATGTACAGTATTTCAGAAGGTAGTCAAAGTTGTACTACAAAGTTTGCTTCCGTAGTTTCCAAACAAGACAAACCTAGAGAGAACTTAAGGCATGCAGCTTAATGTGCGGGAAAGTATCTTATAAAGTAAGTCATCCTGTCATTCAGATAATGCAAGATCTACAGTCTTTTACATGTCAGTTTTCTAAAAGTTTTATACTTTGGCTATAAAAAACAGTGCCATAGTATTACAATTCCTTTTTCTTAAAAAAATATATGTACCCATGCCCATGAATATCAAATGCACATTTCTATTAAATATATTTTAACATTACTTTGAGCACCAACTGTACATTTTCATTTTAAATGATTAAATAAGTGCTTTAAAAATGCAGCAACTAGCTGAATGCCACAATGTTTTTTCAAGCTAAGAACAAGGAATACAGCCTCTATTGGTGAAGCTGTTGAAGCCACAGTTAATTGGAAGCAAGCTCCATTGATTCCAACACCATGTTTCCAAATAAGTTGCTTATGCTACAGTCAAAGGGCTGGTTAAGAAAAATAAAATATGGTCAGATTACGGGGATGGGAAACAAGAGAAGAGAATCATCCCACCCCATGCCCTGTCTACTAATCTTACCTCTACACCAACCAAAATGCCCATCAGTTGGACACGTGCTGAAGCACATGAAGGCCCAAACCACACAGGTAAACATTTCCTAGAATAATAAGATCATAATTTGGACCTGCAATCATTTAATTGTGTGTTTGCCGGTCCTATAGAAATATTACTTTTTATGTTTAGATGCCCAGTGGGCCTAAAAGTGGGGTAGCAGTGATCCCATTGCCCTCCTGCCCTTCTTCCTACTACTAGCCTGTATCACACGCTAAATTAATCCTAACCAGCCCAAACAAGTGCAGTGCTGATCCATTGAAAGAGTTTTCTCATTGAGCACAACTGGATGAACATTGTAAGGATGTCATCCACAGCACATCTCTATGGAAATAATGCAAGTGTAATGCAATTTACTCTAAAGCAAGTGTATATTGGAATTGCAGCCAGAAGTATAAATGGAAGCTTTTCGCCCATAACAGAACAGAGCACTGAATCTGCTCCTCCATAAATTAAATGGGGGGCGGAGGGGAAGAAATAAAACACTCTAGTTAGCAGTATGCATTTATCTTTTTAAAATCCTAAAACAGGGAAGACATGCTGTATGTCTGAAAAAGTGCTCTAAACAAAAACTCCCTAAATCCAAACAGCTCACACTCCAAGATAGGTAACATGATCAACAAACTGGTTTCAGCCTCAAGTCTGCTACATGGCAAGTGTGTAAATTTGAAGAGTGAACTGATAGCAACCCGTGGGCTTTAAAATGAAAATGAAAAAAAAAAGTGTCAGTATGAAGGATGCTTTTCTTGTGCAATTGAAGGTAATATCAAACTTTTAAGTATTGAGACTATAGTTAGCTTAAAAAAATAAAAATAAAATACTTCCCTTTACTATTTAACAGCAATGGAAGATTACATATACAAAATGGTAAGAACCTTCTGAATACATATGCACTTTGCCTGGCCTCCCCAATTCATTTCAATTGTTCTTCACATATTGTATTCCTGCAAAAAGCTTTACATGCCTAAAAATCAATACGTAACTTCAATAAAAATATAATTAGTTTTATAAGCTTGTGGTTTCACAATTTTCTTGTAGTGTAACAGACAGGCATGATCCATTAAGGAAAAAACCAAAACAAAGTAAAGGTTTGTGACAAAGAGCCTTCGCCATGGTTTTGAAATGAAACATTTAAAATAAACCGAGTAATTTTTACCAAGCTTTCAACTAATTGCAGTAAATAGACAGATAGGAGGTGGAATGTTGATAACGCTTTGTATGATCTCAGCTATTAAATAGTTGCCCAATAATTTCCTGTTTCTAAGCACCTCAGAAGTTTCAGGTTGAGGATACAATACTGATGCAAGGACTGAATACAAAGGTAACAGTAGGAGCCAGAAGTATTTCATCAAGGTTTGTGACCAATTGGATTCTGTTCAGTCTTAAAGAGCTCATAGCAGGAAGTGAAATATAGCACCTTCTCAATTTCTCCCTGTTTGTTATATTTCTCAAGAACACAAAACAATCCACATTTTCAATCTCATATTTAAAATAAACTTGGTTGTTGTACAGTTTGTTGTACAGTGAATTTATGCACTCACTTTTTATAAATGCACCTAGTTTAGAAACAAGTAACAGATTGAATAATAATAGGGATTCTAGTTTGGATTTTCTACAAAATGCCTTGAAATATTTTTGCGTTCAACATTTAAAGCTTCTTTTAAAATGACACAAAATATTTTCCATTGGTCCAACTTCACAGTTCAGAAATTTTGAGGGGCAGAGGGTGACCCAAACTCAATTAGCACCATGAAAGCTGAGCTTTTAATGTATAATAAATACATTTTTTAAAGTTCTGCAGCTGTCTGAAAATAAAGCATATCTGTGTACAAATCTGTTTACAAGCAATGAACTGCCAGAGTAAAGGGAAATGCAGCAATATGGCAAGAACTGTGAGAGGGCTCCACCCAAATGAAACATAACACTAGTTTCAAGAGAAAAATAACATTGGAGGCTGCTGAACTTCCACTGAAGTCAATGGCAGTTAAGCAGCTGAAGCTTGAAACCACAGACAGGAACTCAAGCTATTCTAGAAGGCATGGAAACAGCTCCTTTTGAGAAACAAGTGTGAATGAAGTGCTTTTAGTGGCTATTTTATAACAAAGTTACAATGGGGTAAGCTAGTAACTTCCACTGAGTTTTCATCAGATTTCTGTGTACTCAAGAAACTGGATTTTGACGTGTTAAATATTATTTGATAAAGAGGTAAACCTCCCTTCAAAGTTTAGCTAAGACCACTTGTTCCTACCCACTCTGATCCAAGTTATGGCACTTCTAGCATTCTGAAATGCCTGATTTTAGAGAGAGAGATATTTAAGTATTATGAGAAGGTTCTGGTGAACCGTTAAGGTCCATCAAGACTTAATTATACATTCTCAGCATCTCATACTGAAAAAAATAACCTAAGCCAAACAATTTGCTACTTTTTTATGATGCCTGTATCAGCAGGAAGATACCGATATTTTTATCTTTTCTAAAAAAGAAGCAGCAGTAATTGAGTGAGGAACCATAAGGCCTAAGCAGTTACTCAAGTCTCCCTCTCACTTTCTGGAAATGCTGCTTCATAAATGTAGTCAGTCATGTCAGTTTTTAAAAATTTACCTAAAATGAATTTAACCCCCTTTAGATAGTTTTGAGGCAGTAAGATTAAACCCCTTAAGGTAACACATTAGTGTGAAATTCCTATTATATGGCTAAGCTTTAGATTAGCAATAGGCATTGAAAACGGCTCTGTCAGTTGAGGATAATGGTTTCAGCGGACCTTTCCCTAAATGGAGTATTTACTGTTCAGTTACTTCAAGAGCTTGTGAAATAAATCCATTTTCCTGTTGACATAAATAACATTCCGACCGTTAGAAATATCACTGCATTTTTTTACTTACAGTTTTCGCTTTAGCAAGTAGTTCGGGTGATGTAAAGAGAACACAAGAAAACAGCACTTTATGAAACCCTTTAAAGCAGCAGCAGCATCACCTATCTTACACTCTGAGTTGCTGTGTGGTCCTTGTTCAGAATTATGTTTATGATTTCACCTTCATGTTCCTTCATATGGTCCAACAAGTTCTCCTTGTTGGTGGACTCAAATCCACAAATGCAACAGCAGAAGAGCAGGACGCAGTACTCTGTGCCAAGGTGAGGCAGACCGGCAGTTTTTTCTGAATTGCATGAGGTATTAGTTGTGGAAGTAGGATTCTGATCTTCATCAGAATTCACAGTTTTGTCAGCAGTTTGGTTAGAGGAGTCTGAAAAGGACAAGCCCTCAGAGTTGCTTTTCAAAGGAAATAAACCATCAGCGGTCACCTTCCCAGTCAGCTGACCTGGGAACCTAAGAAAGGAAGAAAGTAGTTGGTTTTTTAGTATACAAATTCTAAGAAAATGGCAATACAGAACGTCTATGGATCTGTTTGCAGGGCTCAATGTATGTACAAGTTGCTTTTGGCATCTCTCACTTGTACGCCAGCCCTTTCCCTCCCTTGCACTACTGTGCAGCAAATCTCTAAACAGCTTATAAAATTTCCCCCAAGCGTAAAGAGAAAGTGGGAGGTTTGGCAAAAGAACTTCCAGCAGGGAAATCACAATGCCCCCCCGACTCCAATAACTTAAGTAACTATATTGCTTAAAGCAACTGACTTGCTATGCAAATTGTTAAGATAGTGCTCTATATTACAGGTATAAATAGTGACCCTAAAATGTGCACACACCTGCTGCTTTGTGAAATTGCATCATTAATAGCCTTGTTCACTTGTTCATAGTTGTAGTTTTGGTCACTTGCGTGCTTCCACATATGAGACTTGAGAGAAGGGGGATGGCTACACTCATACCCACAAAGCGAACATCTGAAGGGGGAAAAAGATTAAGAGAAAGAATGAGGGGTCAACATGTCTTACCCAAAATGTGGTCAAATTATAAAAAGTCAGCACACCCTTTGATTTCTATCCCAGTTTAGTTTAACTGTCACTGCATTTTTATGTGATATTTTAAAGATTTCTACCCCAAAAAGTATACCTAAAGCTATAAAGTCTGTCAAACATGGTGAACTAATACATAGTCTCATTAGGCAATAACAACAGAATGAATAGGTATTAAAAAAACGCCAAAGTAATAAAAAGCTAGAGGGAGAAATTGCACACATTAAAGAAATTTGTAGTATATCAAGTATTCTCAGAATTTAACATATGGTTAGATGCACTGGAGCATACCTACATGAATATAGTAATTGCCCTGGGCCTTGCTAAACAGATTTCTCTGTGGAACTAAGGAAGGGGCCACAGCTCAGTGATGCTGTGCATGCAGAGGGCCTTGTATTCAATCCCTCACATCTCCAAATAAAAAGGTTCTGGTAGAAGGCGCGAAGAAAGGCCTCTGCTGGCAAGTCATTGCCAGTCAGTGATTAGACAATACCAGGATGGATGGACAAATAATCTGACCTATAATTAGGGTCACAGTCAACTTCTACAAAAAAGAAAAAGAAAAAAAAGATCAAATTCAACTTCCATCTTTTCTTCTCCAAGGCCCATTTAATTTGGAACAAATTGGAACCATGCCCAGAACATTTCATGTACCAGGACTTTGTGCGCCAAGCACATACGCAGCACATTTTCCTCACTACTAAGTATCTACAGTCAAATATTCTGAGGGAGACCCCTATGTTTTCCAGAGCTCTGGTACTTCTGGGTTGTTGTTTTGTTTTTTTTACAGGTTTTCTGGAGCCTCCAGAGTACCAGGCTCTAACAGCAGCAAGATACAAAGGCAGATATGATCCCTTAACCAAGCAATTTGTGAGAGATCTCTAGCAAATGTTTGGTGATCTGAACTTCAAACTATCCGTATTAACAAGGCCACAGCTGCCACCGGCTTGCCAAGCAGTCAGTTACCTACTTGAACTGCTCCATTAGCTGCACTGCCTGGTGCTCCTGTGGATGGCGCCTCATATGGCACTTCAAGCTATTCATATTTGTTGTGGCAAAGTCGCACATTCGACACCTGAAGGAAAACAAAGAAGCAATTGGTTCCCAGCAACCTCAGCCTCTTGACAAGACCATCTCTGAGGTGGGCATTGCGGAAGGGAGGACAAGGAGGGAAGTTTGGCCAATTATAATTCATTCTAGAATCCATCGGTGCAGTAGTCAAGTAAATGTTCGCTGCCTGCTATTCAGATGAAAATGTCATTGGTTAAGGGCCTCTGGAGGTGTTAGCTGTCTGCTTAAACATGTGGTTCAATCAATATGGCTCTATCCATCTAAAAGTTTAAAATGGCAAACTTTCAGATGCATCATGCAAATGGTAGAGGTTCCTGGACAACTGTGCTGAATTTTAAAAAGAAGCATTAAAGACTCAATAAATCTGCTTATTGTTTGTTTTGAAGATTTTCTACCCCACCTTTCAGACCTTTCTAGGCTGCTTAAAAGAAACAGGTTGAAAAAGCCACATTCTTCTAGCATAACCCGGCAGTCTTCCGGTTGATGGGATGTGGCCCAAGTATGCTCCAATTCTGCTGTTGCTTGCTTTAGGAACCTCCTTACCAGGTATTTCAATATGTATTACTTGCAGGTCCTTATTGTAATGATGTCAGCAGATTCTAAAGTGACTGTCAGAGTAAATTGGTAGCAAGTGACACACTCCTTCAAAATTAGGCAATTTCAAATCGCCCACTGTGTTCTAACTTTAGAATTGACAGCTGCAAGAAAACAGATCAAAAAAATTCCAGCTATAACAGAAAACCCCAGAGATATGCTCACCTGTATGGCTTATCGGAGTTGTGAATCCGCCTATGATTCCGCACACCAACATACATTGTGCTTGTGTAATCACAAATGTCGCATCTGTAAAGTTTCTGGACTGAAATCCTATCCCCTAAATGACATACAACACAGTTTTTAGAAATCATTTTCCTTAGCAGAAAGACAGATCTTGTTTCAGCACAATCTGATCCTGCTTAGGTTCTAACCTCCCAATACTAACAGTTGAGTAGAGTTTGGTTCACACATTTGATCTGGCTTGCAGCTTTGGTTCTGGAAGGTATTTAATTCAGGATTTTTTGTATATACTTTCTTTTAAAATAATCAGGTCTGGGCCAACCACACAAGTGACCCAAGCAGATACTTAAGGTAATCTTATTATTAAGGGCGCCCAAGAAAACCTACAATATGAGAGGTCCTTCTCAAGATCCTAGTTGTTGAATCGCAGCATCCTCATTACAGGGGGTCCTGGGAATTGATCCTGGATCATGCAGGGCTGTGTCTTAGGACGCTAAGTTGCCTTGGACCAGCCTGGTAAATAATTAAGCCATTTCTTATCTAAATTGAATAACAATGAAGGAAATAACATTTGTAGGCAAATAAAAATATATTGCCTAATGATCACTAAAACCACCATATTTTATATGCAATTATGTCACGAAGATTTGTTGTTTTACAAAACACAACTCTGCCTTTTACTACATGCTTTAGAGTCATGGGTTTGGGAACTGCTTTTATCCCCGGAAGGGAGGGCAGGAAGTAAAGGAAGGCCAAGCCCTGTGGTGTGTAACAAACTGACTGGTTTCAAACCAACACTAAAAGCAGGTGTTCCTGTAATGCATGTTATTACAATCGCCCTACATTATTAGACATTTAGAATTCAATCATATGCGGAAAGATCCCTTTAACGTTCTAGCACAGCCGCGATGAACAGGGGCGCTGATGATTTCATAAACATGAAACAAATGTTCCCGCTCAGATTAACGCGTGCATAAACAGATGCTGTGCCATAAACTTCTTGGGTTTGGGCTGTTTTATAGAGACGACATCTGTTTGACAAGAGGGTTTCCTTCCTGCAATCGTGTCATAATTTGACTGCAAAGAGTTTCCAAACTACTTTAGAAAGCTTAAATTCTCATTTAATGAATGCTATTAAAAGGGGGAACATGTTCAGTCAAGTCATACCTCCAAATCCCAGGTTTTAAAATAAAAACCTGAATTAAGCGTTGAGGCAGGGCGTAGGTGTTTGCTGTTTATTTTGGAGGGGTGCATCATCAAGAAAAATTGGCACCCTTTCCCTCTGATTCAGAGGCTCTTCAGGTAAAAGGCACACTTCTCTAAAAAGGTGTGGACAGTAGCAAAGGGAGGAACAAGCTTCTTTCCATACTGTTTGCCTAGTTGGAAGGAGGCCTTACAAAAGCCTTGCCCAATCTTGTGCCCTCCAGATGTTTCAGACTACAATGCCCATCAGCTCCAGCCAGCATGCCCAATGACCAGGAATGATGGGAGTTGTAGTCCAAAACATCCAGAGGGCTGGAGGCTGCAGAAGGCTGCGCTATACGATCAAGTGATTAAAAGCCCTATGTGGCAACTGCTGAAAAGCCTTTTCCTCTGGTGATTCTCCATGAAGCGGGTGCTACCTTTAACAGCCCCGAACCATATTGGTTGCACATATCATTATCTGCATACCAATGCTGCAAATTCCTGGCAGTGGCAGTGCTGCTGCTCAGGTACTATGGGTGACTGGGAAAATAAATGTAACATTGGCTTTTAACAGTTAAAAGTCACTGCTACAGCCAAGGGATTCTCAAGAACCTCCAGCATGTTGAGCTCAACTTTTCAAACTGACCCAATGTTATCACTAAGCGAGTGAAAAAGACAGACAGTACCGACTCTTTCATCCACTTTGCTACAAGTTATTAGGCTGTCAGACGGTGGCATCGAGTATAGGTCTGGAAGGCTGTGTTGCTCTCTCTCGTGGCTTCGAAGCTGACTCTGCAAAGCAAACAGGAGTACCGTCTTTTAAAAGGGTGCAAATACGGAGTGGCTGAACCTCTATGCTGAATTCTCATTATTTTCCTGCCAAACGCCATCTGTGATTACTTATCTGACAGGCAGCCAAACAAAATGACAATACAAATCAAGAAGATTTCTAAAGAGGAGCTCAAGACACCTGATCACTAACCAACTGCATGGGGTGAGGAGAGAAACACAGTTTCCAACTCAAGCAGGGATAACGGGAAAGTAGACTTTTCAGTTGCCCAAATCTGAGTGAGCTCCGTAAATTTAGAAAAGCACCACAAAGCAGAATTACCATTACCTGGTTTAATAACTAGGTAACAAGGTTCCACCCACCCACCCGCCACTCCACCAAGAGCTGCAGAAAGACCCTGGTTTGTACCCCAACATGGTAGAATAGTCATGCACTCTAACTTTTTATTATTAGGCTTTAACTTGATGATATAACTTGGGCTTTTCTTGTATTTTTTCTATTTATATAGTTTATTGTATAGCAGTTAAGCTGCTTTAAGAAAAATGGCATATAACAATCAGAATTGTTGTTCCTCTTCAGACATAGGAATTGTTAAGATACTCAATTGTTAAAGGGTATGTCCCTCGGTTTAAAAAAAAGGGGGGGGTTAATGTTATGGTTTTCCAAAACTGCTGCGTCTATTGGCTGAGTTCAGAGTTCTACCTGCCTTATCACTACAGGCTTAACTCCAGCTTTGAAGAGGCTGAAATAAAGTTCTGACCCTGATGCTTCCTTGACCCACTTCTGAACTGACTTACAGGTTTTGACAAACAATCCAGTCGTTGATTCCAAGGCCATTACTCAGGCACTGAGCAGCACCAGACACTCCAGTGCTAGCAATCTCAATGGGACCTTTCTGGCAACCAACCATCATCGACTGTTTGCAATTGACTGCCCCAGTTAAGCCTGTCATGACAAGCTGCAACTTCTCTGGCTCACACAGTTCAAAGCAATCAAGAAACAGTAAAAAAACGGCAAACACAAAAGTAAAAACACTTCACCTTATAATGAAAGGATTCTTCGCACTGTTTGCACTGGTACATTCGGGTTTTGCAGTGGTTGATCATATGGTTTTCCAAATCCTTACTGTTTTCTGCTATGTGCTCACAGATAGGACATTGATAGGGCTGCCTCTGGCGATGCACCCGCAAGTGTTGCTTGATGTACCCCTTGTTGCCACTACTGTAGTGGCACAGGCGGCATCGGAAGGGGCGATCCACATTGGGGATGTATTCCACCAGGTTGCTCCCCAGCACGTTGGCGTCGGCTGCAGGTTGGCACTGCACGTTGTCTTGCAACTCCTTCAGAATGTCATCGTCGGAAGCGTTCTGGTCCGTCCTCTCCTTCAGCTTTTCAATGACGGTGAGCAGGGACATGCTGATGCCCATTTTAATGGGACCTTCAGCCAGCTCTGGCTTATCCTTCTGTATTTCCATGAAAGCACAGTCCGTTTGGTTCAGGCCTGCCAATTCCTCTGTTTTAAGGGAGGTCACCAGCTTAGAATGGGCGACGTAGCTGTTGTCAGCTGGCCTCTGCCCAGCCTCTGAACCTATAGAATTTGCCTCGGCGAAAGCTCTGAGGCTTGACCGGGTTAGCTCTGCAGCTCTGATGGGCATCGTGACGAGCGCTTCAGCAGCCAGGGAGTGCAGCCTCAAGGACTCTGAATTTGTTCTTCTTCTGGTGGGAGGCGCATTTTCATCCGCTGCTTTGGCTCTACCAGGGTTTAAATCGCCATCTTTCTTCTCCGCACTGCTCCATCCGATTATGACTTCTTCGAGTTCCACAGAGCTTTTGTCCATATGATAAACGTCCCCATCGCGTGCCACACGAACTTGCTCAGAGATTATTTTCTTCTCGGCTTCAATGTCGGTGTCCATAGAGTAAGGCTTCTGCAAGACAGGCTCTTCGGCGCTCGGCAAACGTTCAACTATGACGTTAACGTGGCCTTTTTTATTTGGGCTGCAGCTAATGATTTTTTGGGCGGAGGAAAGCAAGCTGTCGGTCATCAAGTTGTCTTGCTCCAGATCGGTATCTGACAGAGTCTCTTCTGCTCCTTTGCCTGTGGGCGAGAGAGCAGCCGACTGACTTAAGAGCGCCTCCTCTTTCGCAGGCTCTTCTGTCGAGGAGGTTTTGTACACCATTTGCTCAGAGCTACAAATGTGGAGTTGAACAGCCTGGTCACCAGAGAGACCCAGTTCATTATTTTCTAGCGCGAGGACAACGGCATCCACGTTGCGAGGAACACCCGTTAGAGCAGGGTCCTGCAACGTAGCTTGTTCATTTTCTTCCTCAAATATGGGGTATGAGCAGTCCACTTCGCCTGCATGCTTCCAGGCATGCGTTTTCAACATTCTTTGCTGACCACAAGTGTAGCTGCAAATTAAGCATCGGTACATGCCGTACTGCTCATAAGTATACCATTTTTGCCTCCCCTTCTCCGTTGGACGGGGAGACTGAAGCTGTGCTGTCTGATCAGCGCCGGCATTGACAAAACCTTCCACTGGACCATGCAAAGTGGTACTGGGAAAACTTGCACATTGCTGCTGCTCCTTTGAAAGAGTGTGTGCTTTGCTGCTGTTCTCTGGGTGATGCCTCACATGAGCTTCAAACTCTTCTAGGCTTCTCATGGCAAAATTGCACACTGAGCACATAAGTATTACTTCGTTCTGCTGGCCATGTTGTTTCACGTGTTCTTTTAAGAGAGGGAGAGTGGGAGACAGAGATTTACAGAGACTGCATTGGTAACAAACCACCTTCCTTTTATTCTGCGGAGGACAGTCTGTCACATAATAATCTTCTATATTTATCGTGCCCAGGGCAGGCAGTTCAATGGTTTTACCTGGGATCTCTGGGAGGTTTTGTGAGTCAAGTGACAGCAGGGACACATCGGGATGCAAGCGCTTTTTCCCTATTAAAAGGCATTTTTGTGACTTCTCACTCTCAACGATCTTGCTTAGCTTTTGGATGACCTGGATTAGTGGGTCAGGGTTACACTTTCTCTGGTCTTCACCACTTTCTGAAGTTGGGCTTACAACTGCTTCGGAGATCAGTACAGCTTCCGGTTCCCCAATGTTTGAGACTACTGCTGTAATACTGTTGCCTTCTTCCATAATATCTGAAACTTAAAACGTACATGGCTGTGTTACAAAACATCAAGCTTACGGAACACAATGGCATAAATGTTGCAGTCAATCAGTTCATGCACCTTAAACAGATGCACAAGTCATCCAGCCCCTTTGAAAAGCTGCTTTGCATCTTAACACATAAGTGATATTCCATACAAAGTATGGACCTCCAACTGTTCAAAAGGGACCTGAGCTTATCCTCCTCCTTGCCAACCTCACCATTTGTCTCAGCTGTGCTTGCACTCTATTAGCAGAGGCGATTAGGGATGAAGTCATCCCTGTGCACCAATGCAGAGTTTCCTTGATCTGAACATCTGTCTGTTGATCTCTTGCAAGTGCCCTGGGAGTTCCCGCTCCATAGCTAATTGAAAACGTTCATGGCAGTAAACTGTGAAAAGAGAATGTTAATTTGAGACAGGATGAAGTTATTAAGCACTTGAACGCTAAAGAATGAGCACCCTTGAGCAGAAGATGGTCTAAAGATCAGTACAAATGACTAACATCAATCAAATCTGCAAGAATACCACATATGCCATTCCTCCATTTTAACTACAACATTTTCAAACAGTTTTAAGGTGAGAGTATCACCAAACAACACCATGCAAGCTTGCTATGTGATTTAGTAAGCAAAACTGATCAGAAACATGACTGCAAGACTGAAAAAGTCTTACTATTCCAGACTGAGCTGGATAAAATTTGGTGAGTACTTAACACTTTGAAAAGTCTGTAAGCAATTCAATTGGCAGGGAATGCTTTTCACTTGCAGAATGATTTACTACATGCACTATTCCATGAAACGAGCTCAAATAATTCCACACCACCAATGGTGTGAAAACTAGAGAAATTTCTTCAGCTACGTATGCCTTGGCTTAGTCAAAATCGCAATGACAACAGAATAGCAACCTGGGAATAAGATGACATTAAACTGTCAGATCTTTCTTTAATATTCTGGCAGATTAAAAATGACAAACATTTGGATCTATAAAGGAAGCGAAAGCAGTAGGATTCTTTTAAAAATAAAACACCTTAGCAGAAGGAACATTTTCATAATGAAATCAACAAATACTTCACTGATCAAATATTCTATCCTGTGTTTGAGGAGTTCAAGCTTCAGTATCTGCATCCTAGTTTAAGGTGTTTTTGGCACATGATGAAGCAGAGCTTTGCCAATGACAGCTCAAAAGGTAACTATAATCCTGCACATACTTACCAGACAAGAAATCCATTGAACTCACTGGAACTTACTTCAGATGAAGTTGCAATCCTTTAGCCACTTACCTGGAAACAAGCCATATTGAACTCAAGTGGGATTTAATTCAGAGTAGACCTATACAGGCTGTAGTGCCACACAACTTTGGTCTTTAAGAATGTTGCATTTTCTTGCCGAGAATAATCAAGACAATCAATTCTTTGGCAACTCTTTGGTGAATGTTTTCACCAAACTAAAAAAGAGTTGAGAAGATCAATGCTGATGATCTCATTTGAAGGAAATTCAGAAACTGCAGCTGGTGCAGAATTCAGTGGTCAGGTTGCTCACTAGAGTAATACAGTTTGAGCATATAACAACAATCCTGGCCAAACTGCACTGGCTGCTAATTAGTTTCTGAACCCAATTCAAAGGGCTGCTTTCGGGACTTCCGGGTCAGCGCCATCGGTGAATGGCGGAGTTCCTCCAATCGGAGGAACGGGCTCCGTGGAAACTGGGTCTTCCCGCCGCGGCGAAGGTGGGGACCCGCTAGAAATCCCAGGCGGACAAAGCCTGGGAACGTGGGGTTCGGCAGGGCACCAGGAGCGCACCCCCTACTCACCGGGAACCCCATTTTGGGGCGCCGGAGCGAAGTGGGGTGAGTGGCGCGGTGCTGCGAACTGATTGCTATTTTCACGGAGTGAAGCCGCACAGCCATTGCCGGAGAGCGCTGACATTTTCCTGTGGACAATTGGATTTAAAACAAGTACCCGTGAGTAGAAACGGAAAATTGGATCAAGAAATATCTTAATTTGGCATCGAAGCGGGAAGGTTCAAAACAGGAAGTCCGCCTTCCGCTTTTTGTATATAGACTAAAGCAAAAACCTTGTAAGCTAAAGCCTGGAAAGCCGTTAAAAAAGTCTAAATTTCCTTCATTTATAATTACTGAAACCCCCTTGGAAGCAGGAGAAAAGGGGGGGGGGAGACTTTGTTTAACCCCTGCAGGAGAGGGAGTGAAGAAGGATAAGTTTCCACCGTCTCTAACCTGGGAACAGGGTGTCAGAGACAGAAATAGTTGGAGAGGTTCATTGACTGTGAATGGAATACTTTGACAGATAGCTAAAGAAGAGAAATAAACTGATTCCAATGTTGCCTTTTGCATTCTAAAGAAACAAAATATCTGAAAAATATCTGAAAAATGAAAGTAAATTTTCCTTTGTTGGACTTGCCTTAAAAAAAAAATGGATACAAATAGAAATTGTCTCCTCTAGAGGGAGCTTGTTAAATTGTTGCTACAGTCTACTTGAGGACTCAACAGCTGTGAGATTAAGATCGTGGGACCAGTCTTTTCTGACCTTGACTAAAGATGAGCTGGGAGGAAGATTGGGTGCTTGCTTTATGCAAGACAAGTGCCTTGCTGGAACAGATGCACGAGAAGATGGATTTGATGAATGATAAAATGGACTTGATGACTGTCGTGGTTAATAACTGTGGACAAACAGGGAACATTGATATAGAAACCATTCAGGGACCAACTCATGAACCTGTACTGACCGGGCAAGTGCAGAAGATAATGGAGGAGGATGCGGTTGCACCTCAAATAATACAAATGGAGAGACCCGAGGCCCTACAGGAGCATAAGCCGCTGTCATTGAAGATTGAAGTTGGAGCGGGCCAGGGGGAGTCTGGAGCAGAGGAGGTTCCTAACTTTGGAGAGACCTTGAAATATGCTTTTAAATACTTTTTGGTTTACATTGATGACTGTGGGGAGTGGGACTGTGGGGAATGAGCGGGTTTGAGGAAGGGAGACAGAGATAATTTTGGGTCGGAATCCCCCAGAGACCTACTCCTCAATGATAAAGGAAAGAAATTAAGAAAGAGACCAACAAAAGACAAGGAAAAGTGCAAGTATAAACAAGAAGAAGAAGACCTGCAGAAGGGACATGGAAGAGACTTAAGGGCCTCCGACATAAGACTTCCAGGTTGATGGACTAGATGGAATGGACAGTAAGGACTGACACGACCCGAGACCAGGAAGAAGAGACGTTGGGTGAAGATTGGAAGAAAATTTATAAAGAAAATTTTTTATTTAGGGAATTAGCCTAAAATTAATGAATATTAGGGAAAATGTTGGAATGAAACTATATGACTCTAGCAGAAATGATATCAGGAGTTATGTATATTTGAGTATTAAGATTCAAGCTTTAAGGTATTTTATGGTAAGATAAGGTTAAATAAATTAAGGTAATTTGAATAGCAGAATATGGGGAAAGATGGAAAGGACTTGTTGAGCTAATTATTAGGTTAAATTGTTAAGATAAATTATTTAACAAAAATTGAGAAAGATGGAAAGAATTTGCTAAAATAACTAATTAAACTAGAATACAAAAAGGGAGGTGTGAGGAGGTCAATGAAACAAGCAAATGGAAGTTAAAGATATGTAATTTGGGATTTATGTCTTTTTTTCTTCTTTTTTTGTTGCTGTATTGTTGTATTGGTTTTTATGTTTTGCGTTTTTTCTTCTTTTTTATGTATTGTAGTGTTGTTGGTTTTTTTTCTATAATTCTGAAACTATTAATAAATATTATTTTAAAAAAAACAACAACAAAGGGCTGCTTTCGACCCACAAAGCCTTATGTGGCTCAGGACCACAATACCTCAAGGATCACCACTTCCCATATGAACGACCTCAGACCCTGCAATCATCATCTGAGGTCCTTCTATGTGTGCCCTTTTCTTGTAAGGTTTGGAGGGTAGCAACATGAGAACAGGCCCTTTCAGTGGTGGCTCCCCACTTGTGGAATGTTCTCCACAGGGAAGATCACCTAGCACCATCATTACATAGCTTTAGGTACCATGCACAAACATTTCTTTTTTTACCAGGCATTTGGCTCTTAATTATCAATGGCCTCTTTGAGTGGGCGGGATGTTTCAATCCTGCCTTATAAGAATAGGATTTTCTTTTAGATTTTCCTATGTTTGTTTTATGATGGTTTCAATATATGTGTTTGATTATTTATTGTAAGTCGCTTTGAGTTGCTTTGGTAACAAATCAATCAAGTTTTAATCATAATCAGAAGTGTAGCTCTTTTGCTATTTTCTATCCTCAATGGCTTTTTAAAAAAATCAGGTAAGGCAACCAAGGTGAGTGGCGGACCGGGGGTTGAAGAAGAGGGGATTTGATTAAATCCTTCTTCTTGAGTCATTCTGAATCACACCTCTCCAGAACTGGTTTTTTGCAAAAGAGACAATAAAAGATACTAGGGCCTTATATCCTTTACATCTAGCAGAAGAAAACAGTGGGTGGGAGAGGAGGTAGCAGGAATTTTGGATAAATGGCTGAGAAATAAAGAATTAAAGAGCCCCCTTCCCCATCATCTGATGAACCCGAATCTCCCTGTAGACAACACAAGGCAAGGTGAACCCAAAGTCTGACTTCGCTAAAGGTAAATTCACATTACACTATACCTGCAGCCACCAGACCAGAGTTTCCTCATCCCGTCATAACTGCAAGAACATCCTAAAAGGAAAATCCTGCAAGTAAAAGCAGCTATAGCAACAAATTAAAGAGCATTCCTGCCAAACTATTTACCAGACATTACATTTTGAATACTACTTTATCTAGAAGTAATCAGGCACTCTTTTTTAATGCTTAAAACGGAAAATAAAAGAAAGTGTACTTTTTTTTTTTACACTATGCTTGCAGGAGTCTTTCACTTTTCACAAAACAAACAAACTTTTTGTTTAACCTATAAAAGTATGCTATTGACACTGCAGTCAAAAGGGTTGAGACTGATAAGAAAGTGTTAGCTTGTTGCAACCTCCAGCCGAGAAAAGTTTTAACCAGGTTCCCTCTGCAGCACTTTTGAAAGCAGAACACCAGATATAGGGTTTCCAGTTCTATTAGCATTCTATAGCTTCTTTGAGATACACAAAACACAATCCTGTACATGTGACAATTTGCCTGAGACTAACAGTGAAGTAATTTTTACCATTAAGGAGCAAAAGTGAAATGTAGGGTTCAGCACACTAGTTTCGTGGAGATCAGAAAACTGGTAGGAAAGCAGAATCATACCCTGAGCTTGAGGGCTCATTAGGGCTGAGATTCTAAGTGGGGTGGGTGTGGGAAATAAGTAGACTGAAGTTGGAGAATTACAGGAAAGGAAAACAAATACAATCTTCATGTCAAGACACTTTGAAACAATGGTTTTGAAGAAATGTGTGTGTGCACATTCTTAAGGGCTGGCACGCTTTTTAGACATACAACCCGGCTTTAGCTTATTTTTTAGTTATCGTTTTATAGATTAGAAAAGTTTTGATGATGATCTGTTAATCATGTAATATTGCTTATGCCATAACTATGACGCTCAGATTATTTTTTCAGTTTCTGGTTTGTTAATAGCGTTTTATAGACAACAATTGTTTTACTGATTATTTGCCAATTCTGTAATATGACTTACACTATATCTGTGATATTTTATTATGTTATTGTCTTTAAGCTGCTTTGGGATTCATTTGAATGGACAGTGGCATACAAATCAAATCAAATCAAATCAAATCAGACCTTTACCCCAAAAATGCATTTGAGGAGCAGCTCCTTGGTTTTTAAAGCTATACTTTTGCATATTGGTAGTACTTCGGCTGTGACCTACCTTAGGTCAGCTTGTGAGCAAGCCGTGGGCCCCAACCTATAAGCCGAAGACTGATACTCTAATGGGAGAATGATGGGAATAGATCAATGGTATGACTAGAGGATTGGAATTGGGACTGTGGAGTTCCAATATTCCCATTTGGCCACTAGGCAATCTTGAGCTATGTTCCCTCCATTGCAACCTGTTGCAAGAATCTGATTAAGGACTACAAAACACTACAGAAATTATAGTCCATAGCTAGCAATTATAAATAGGAACTGAAGCTTTAAAGATGAAGGAAGAGACTTATTGTCTTTCAACTCATTGGCTGAAAGGAAGTTTGAGGATAATAATTGTGTGTATGGACAACTGCATCAAAAGGGTGGATCAGAGAGAAAGAAACTCCTTTCCTGAGCTTTGGAGGTGGCTAATAGGGGCAATGGGGGGGGGGGGCTATAACATTGCTAAGAAAGGATGTGTGTAAAAATGTTAGACTGAAGAATGGGAGCCTGCCTATTTGTTTGTAAAACCATATAAAGGACACACACATCAATGCACCAGAAAGGAATCACCAAAAGAATGGCACAGGGAACTCTCTCTCTCTCTCTCTCTGTGTGTGTGTGTGTGTGTGTGTGTGTGAGAATGACAATATCCCCATGTGGCGCCAAGAGTAGAGGAAGGCCAATATAAATCAATAAATGCAGTAGGTGCACAGACCGTTATGCGTAAGGAAGGAGGGAGCCATACCCCAACTCCGGAAAGTGACGGCGGAAAATCCCCCAAACGTTGTGCTGCTCTTAGCTCCTTTAACGCCTGAACATCCACCCCTCACACCCCTCCCCTCGTTTTGAGTGTGTGAGGTAAGGCAGCTCTACCTCACCGGGGTCGAGGGGAGATGCTCCATGCCTCTGACAGGTGCTGGGAGCTGAGCACCACGCGTCTCCCACCCAACCTGCCACCCTCTCCCCCTCCTCTCGGGTGCCTGCTGAGAGAAAAGGTGGGAAAGGGAGACCCCCAACCCCTTTCCCGGTCGCTCATAGGGATGCTTTCCCCTCCTCCCCATACACGCCCCCTCGAAAAACGCGCTCCCCGCCCCCCCCCTTCGCACCCACCTTCCCAGGGGAGCCTCAGTGAGCTCTGCTTTTCCTTTTTTCCTCCCTCCCGCTGCTGTTGCCTCTGCAGGGAGCACCGCTTTAAAATGGCGACGATGGGAAAGGGATCACGTGGTCCGAGGGGCCCGGTCAGGTGACCAGAGAGGGAAAGTTTCACCTCCTCCGCCTGCGCTAGCCCGCCCACCTGTTGCCATGGTGACCAAGCACAACGGGCTTCTCGAGCTCAGGTGCCTCGCGCTGGGCCCAAAGACGAGCGCGCCTCGGCCGCTTGTAGTTGTTGCGGCTTCCACTAGTAGTAGCCGATGCCTCTCCCGGTCCCACCGCCACTCATAAAGTGCTCTCTCTCGTCTATGCAATCAGAATAAATGTGTGTGCGCGTGCATAAGGCGTCTGTTCAAACAATAAATATATAATAAAGTACTTATGCACACAGAATATGCAAATGTATACAAAGCATCTATGCAAAAAACGTAGAACGTCTTTATGCAAGCAGAATATTATATTGCCTACCCTCTAACAAGGGACGCGGGTGGCGCTGTGGGTTAAACCACAGAGCCTAGGGCTTGACGATCAGAAGGTTTGAATCCCCGCGACGGGGTGAGCTCCCGTTGCTTGGTCCCTGCTCCTGCCAACCTAGCAGTTCCAAAGCACATCAAAGTGCAAGTAGATAAATAGGTACCACTCTGGCGGGAAGGTAAACGGCGTTTCCGTGCGCTGCTCTGGTTCGCCAGAAGCGGCTTAGTCATGCTGGCCACATGACCCGGCAGTTGTACGCCGGCTCCCTCGGCCAATAAAGCGAGATGAGTGTTGCAACCCCAGAGTCGGCCACGACTAACAATGTCCCTCTCTTCTGAGGAGGGTGTCTATGCAAAGAGAATGGAAAGCATTGAATGGTCCTTGGTGATGGTTCCCACAAGGATGCATGCAGATGCTTCTCTGGATTCAACCTGCACAGAGGTAAACTTCCTTCCGTGGGATTTGTACCTGGAAAAATGAAGCCTTAGCACTGCAGCCGTGTTAGGTGACCCAATAGGCAGATGAAGCAACTGTTCTGCGCACCAGCCAAGGAAATTAGTTTTGATATTTCCAAAAAATCCCCCTAAAAAGCAACAAAGTTATCATAATGGGAAATATCAGGACTTTGTTAGGCTTCTTTATGCTACGCTCTTCCCACATTGTGCTTTTTCTGCCAGGCAAAAGATCACACGTTTCTGGATCGTCACTGGATCTGCAAGTCCTGCTGGCACGGAAAACAGGTGCCAGACTTGAGATTCGTGTGCCAGGCTCTGTTCAAATTAAAGGCTGGTTGTCATGAATCCTCGCTGACTCTTACAACCAGAGTAGGGACAAAGGAGGCAGGATGGCAGTTTTCTTCTAATGTAATTGTATGGGTGACATCCAAATGTCCGAATCCTCAGAGCTCTCCTTTGAGCACTGATTTTGAAGTGTTTTGAGCACCATGCACTCAACAGCTGCAGCCACATCATGACGGCATGCCATATAATATGCTGCGCAGCAAATTTATGATTGTTGGGGCCCCAATTAGGTGTTACATTTATAATAAAGTGCCTGTTATAAAGTGTTTGAAGGGATTCCGGTTTGCTCCCCGTTCACAAGAACAGCAAATGCATTGGGCTAGGTAAATTTATGACCCCAAAGCACACATAAAATATAATACATCCTTTAATCTTATGTTTGAGGAACTCACTGCTACTTAACTCATTAATAACATTAAGGCATCCCATTCATCTTAATGACTGGAAAATGCTTTGAACCCAGGACACAAAGAATGAGTAGATGTTATGGAATAAAGGTTGGCTTCCCTGAGGATTCAAATTGACCTAAACAGGGGTCAAGATTTCGCTGTTTATCACCAAGGCACACTTCATGGTCTTCCATTATAGAAAGATTTACAGATGTGTACATATCAGCATATTTTTCTGAATTAAAAAATAATCATCAGGTGAAGCATTTTTTGTTGTTAAAAAACCCAACTTATTATTATTTTTTAATATGTGCAAAAAACACTTGGCACCCAGTACAGCTGACAGATTTTCATTTAAACTAATTTGCAGCCTGGTGATTCAATAAGTTTGCATGCAATTGTTGCTCAGCGCCTTTACAATGCTGATAAAAGAACTACCCTGATGTTATTGTACTTTCATGATTTGTGCTCCTGATGCTTTTGGGGCGGTCGCACGCTATCCTGCTTTCAATACTATTTATGCCTGCAGACATTTTGGGGTGCTCACACTGCTTCATTTCCAATCAGCACATAACCTGTAACTTCCTGCTGAAATCTTATAGCATTGGGGTGGGTGTCATACTTTTGTTGTGTTTTGTAGCTTCTCTGGACAGCAGATGAGAACACATCTACATCATACAGGTAAAGCAGCCCTATACCAATTTGACAGTCATCATTCTCTCCCAAAGAATCCTGGGAAGAGTAGTTTTTTATGGGGGTTGAGAGTTGTTAGGAGATACCTATTCTCTGCACAGAGCTACAATTCGCAGAGTTTCCCGGGGAAAGGGATTGATTGTTAAAGTACTGTACTCTGATAACTGTAGATCTGGGAGGAGCTGCAACTCCCAGCATCCTTAACAAACTACACTTCCCATGATTCTTTGGGGGAAAGCATGATGGTTAAAGTGGACTAATACTGTATTATTTTAAATGTACTGTGGGCCAATGTGGTAGCATCGGGGAAGCACTGCGGAACAACAAATAAAGCAGACTAAATCCACCACTTTGTGGCACCTCTCTGTCTCGAGAAGCAATGGAGTGCGTCTCTGAGGGTGAAGGGAAACAGCTGTATTAGCAACACCAAAGTTACCACCCTGGGGTGCAAGCCTGGGCAGTGTGTATAAAGCCTCCCACCTCCAGGCCTCGCTGACGTGGTCCAAAGGAAAGCAGAGGGAGACATGTTGTGTTCCTTCTGCGATAGTTTGTCCACCTTTGGCCCGCACCTGCACTCAGCTCTCACCTGTGGCTCCTAGAAGCTGCCAGCATGTGACGGGCCACACCCTGGGAATGTCTTCGACTTGTCGGCTAAACCAGCGGAGGGTAACCGATAGGTCTCAAGCCATTGATGAGTTAGAGACTTGCCCCCTGGTGGATTTAGCAGACAAGGCCAAGGACTCAGCTATACAGCTTCAAATTAAACATTTTAAATGTAAAGTGCAATATACAAATGTGAGACTAGATGGCGATGGTGAGCTATGGCAAATTCAATATATTTTTCAAAACTTTTTTTTTAAAGTGTTTTTTAAAAATATGTGTGTCGATTCCACACAATAGTGGGTCCAACAGTCAATAAGTTGGTTTCTGCACATGCTGTAGTGGGAAGTGGGGGCAGACGGGGCTTGTCAACCTGGGAAGGTAGGTATCCCATCTAGGAGAAGGAAAACTCTGATCCTAAACCTTTGTTGCCTTACAGGATCTCTTTGGGAGCAGAAAAGGCTAAGGAGTAAACCCTGCACAAATCTGGAGTGGAATCCCTAAGACGGTTGGGTGGCACCTTGTATTCCTCCTCCTGGCTCCTGTAACCAAGCAGCTGCCATATGTATTGCTCTGCTTTCCTTTGGACCACATCAGTGAGGCTGAGAGGGGGTCTTGTCATGAGGGCAGCCTAGGGCCTCCATACACACTGCCCAGGCTTGTGCCCTGGGGAGGTCACTTTGGTGCTGCTAACACAGCAGTTTGACTTCACCCCTGGAGGTGCATGCTATTGTCTCCCAAGCAGTAATGCTTCTTGAATACCAGTTGCTGGAAACAGCAGAAGTGAAGAGTGCTCATGTGCTGGAATCCTGCTTGTGGGTTGGCCATTGTGAGAGCAGGATGCTGAACCCATCCTTGGCCTGATTCAGCAATTCGAATTGAATTGGATTTGAATTTATTAATTTGTTTATTGCCTAGGATGGCAAAAGTATCAAGGAGTTGGAGAATGAGGGCGAAAAGACCAAGTAGGGACCGGGTACACCTTTCTTTTCCTTTGACGTGGTCCCCACTTCAGACTAGCAATTTAAACAGAACACTTCTTTCCCAAATTGCTCGCATTTCTCATAAAAAGCCAAAATCCACATTTCAGCTGACTGAAGACCTGCTGTTAAAGCTCAGTGCCCTTTGCAAGTTGTATGCCATTGGAAAAATCTACCATGCTCACAGGGAGCTGCCCATGGCATTGGGCATTTTGCTATATTCTGATGTTCTTTTGTTGTGTGTGTATAAATCAGTACAGCTGCCTGTAGTTTTCTACTCCCCTTCTGTGTGGGGCATAGCTATGGGGACTCTCCAGCTGAGCCCCCCGGCACTTCAAAATTTACCACTACACCACTGAGCACCGTATCAATAAAGCCCCGTCGGATAGAAGCAGACTGAGATAAACTGTCACATTTTTCCTCAGAGACCTTGAGGTGGCAGCAACACTACGTTCAACTTCTGCCTTACCGTTGAAATGTGAGGGTCTTTTTAAAAAACAAAAAAAGCATGCGGGGGTGGGGGGAAATGCCCTAAATCAAAATGATCCTGTTTGTTATCATTTTATGGCCCAAGCATTAAGTCAATAAAACTTATCTGGGCTGTCATTTGCATTGTATACAATTTTTACTAGTTTATCAACTATGTTTTAAAAGCATGTTTAAAAGAGCTAAATGAAGAAATCAGTGATAAATGGCAGGGAAGCTGGGAACTTGTCTAATGCTATAGTAAAACTGAGAGTCTCCTTTGGAGAGTCGCGCCTCTAAAATATTCTTTCCGGGAGGATTTGATAGCGCAATAACGTCTCATGTCTCGACTAACTGTAGTTAATGTCCTAATGCCTGATTGAATATTTCCCCGTTTCTTGTCAGACTCTTTTTTATTCATGATTATACGCAGGAAGGTCATCTAATTATATGACTTCCTTTCAGCAAAGGAGAACGTGTTTGTTTCTTTTAATAATGAGGAATAATGAAACTTATTTATGCAGAAGTCAGAGGAATTTATTGAAGAATTACCACATGACTAATGTGAAAATTAATAATAATAATAAAAAAACTTTTAATAGCATATTCATTATAAGAAAGCTTGCCAGTAATGAAACAGCTGTAGAAAAATCCAAGTCCAGCCTGATGCAATAAAGTCATATGTGGGGTTCAGGTCCTGATTACTGGGCATTTCTTGCTTGTCAATGATTATCGGATT